CCGCCGCCGCCGCCGCCGCCGCCGCCGCCGCCGTTGCGCCGCCCGCCGCCACCGCCGCCGCCGCCGCCGTTTCCGCTGCCGCCGCGCCCGCCGCCGCCGCCGCCGCGCCGCTGCCGCCGCCGCCGCCGCCGCCGCCGCCGCCGCCGCCGCGCCACCCGCCGCCGCCGTCCGCCGCCGCCGCCGCGCCGCCCGCCGCCGCCGCCGCCGCCGTCGCCCCCGCTGCCGGACCACCGCCGCCGCAGCCGCTGCCGCCGCAGCCGCTGCCGCCGCACCGCGCTGCCACCACCGGCGCCGCCGCCGCCGCCGCCGCCGCCGCCCCCGCCGCCGCCGCCGCCGCCGCCGCCGCCACCGCCGCCGCCGCCACCGCCGCAACCGCCGCATTGCCCCCGCCGCAGCCGCCGCCGTCGCCAAATGTATTGTGTATTGTTTTTTGACAGGGATGGTGGGGGGAGGCCGCATCGGATTCGGCGCGCATGTTCCGAATTTGGAGGAGGAGCGTATGTTACTTATTGTTGTTGCCAGGGATGGCGTCGGGATGCCCGCATTGTCCCTGGTTGGCTCCCACTCGCCTGGGGGAGAGGGTGCATACGAATAGGGAACAGTGATAAATTTCCTTCCCGAAGGAGGAACAAGGGGTTTGGAAGAGGAGCCGCCCTAGACCACCTACGCCCAAAGCGCTGGTGGAATCGCGAGGGAGTGGCGGATTGTGTGAACACCCCCGCGTGCAACCAGGTCCCAGAGGGTTTTGTGAACTCCAGCAACATTCGGGTCTTCAAGGCGTTGGATCACAGCGTCGCTGCTCTGTTTTCTGTGTTTTGTTCTTCCTTTTTCTTTCTCTCTCTCTCTCTCTCTCTCTCTGTCTCTCTGGTCCAGTTTCCTCCTCCCCCTGTCTTTCCTCCCCTGACACCTTGTAGCTATCAGGCGGTGCGCCTGTTTGGTGGTTTGGAATTCAGCGTTTTCAGAACAGTTTGTGGGGGTGTCTCGAACGAGGCGGTGGTTCCAGCACCTCCGCCGAACCACCAAACAGGGACATTCCCACATTCTGGCCGCAAACGGGCGCGTGTCCTATCGACTGGCGGCTTCCCGTTTGGGCACTGACATTTCCACACGTGAACTCAAATGCGTTGTGAGGTTGGGTATGAGCATCTGCGTGCGAGTGTACGCATTTGAAAATGAGCGCATCTGAGCACCAGTGCTTCGGAACATGAGTGCGTCTGAGTAGGAGCGAGCCCGAGTGTTCAGCCTGAGTATGAGTGAGCCGGAGTGTACATCTGAGTGCGAGCGAGGTTGGGAGTGAGCAAGTCTGAGTGTGAGGGAGTCAGAGTGTGAGCTAAGAGAGGGAGGAAAGGAGAAGTGCGACTGAGGCGCCACACAAAAAAAACAGTCACCCCATACGCATGGCATTGGGAGAATCGATACAAAGTGATCGCCGAGCGCTCAAACCTTATCCAGAATCGTCCGCAGAGTGAACTGTATGATGGGTCGGGGGTGTCGGCATTGACCTCGCTTACGGGCTTGACCGAGTGGGCGAGGGGATGTCTATGGAGAAGAGACGGTGATACACCCCTGCCCGAAGGGAGAGAAAACACTTGAAGTAACGAACACGTCAAAGCACCTACGCCCAGAGGGCTGGTGGGATTCCTCACCTCTCCTCTGCGGAGATCTCGAGAAAGCTCGAGCGGGACCCCCAAAACAGGAGCACCACCACCAGAAGGACTTTTCTCTGCTCCTCGCGATGGCTGGGCGCGGCTCGACAAGTTAGACAGGGTGAATCACGGAAGGGGTCCGAGGACCCATGTGGAGTCCGTCGTTTATTGTTCTCAGCCCAGACCACCGACATCGAGGATCGAGGTGCGGTGATCGAGGTGCTTGGATTTCTCTGGCGGGTCTCCTGGAAGCTCCTAGGACCACTGTGGAATGCCGGAGACCTTCTCGTGTTCCCCCCCCCATAATTGTCGTTTAGATTTCGCGTCCCCCCTCAGCCACTCCAGTCTCCTCATCCGTCATGTTTCTTTCCTTCGTCCTTCTTCCCTCCTTCCTTCTTCCCACACCTCTTCTCTTTCCTCTTCTCTTTTCTCCTTCCTTCTTCCGTCACCTCCCTCTTCTCTCCCCATCTGCCCCTTGATTACTCTTGATTGCTCGCTCTCGTCCTCCCCCTCCCTCTTCTTCTCCCCCTCCTCCCATTCCGCTCCATCCTCCGCCCCTTCCTCCCCCCTTCCGCATGATTTCTCCCCCCCTTGCTTGCCTCCATCTCTTACCATCCCCATCTCTTACCATCCCCCCTCTCCCCCCTAGTCCTTGATCCTCCCCGTACCCTTGGCGTCTTCCACAGGCCCCAGCGGACACCTGTGGAGCTCTCAGGAAGCCCATGACAAGCTCGCGCCTCTGTGCTCCTCCTCTCCCGATCTTCCTGGATCCCCTGCCTCATGCATTCCCTTCCTCTTGTGACCAGGCCCCGGACTCCCTGTACAGCACGCGCGTCGCGCGCGGTGCGGCCCGTGGGTACAGCTTGCTCGTGGTTGCGAAGCGCGCGGGGGGATCGATCCGCTGTCCGGGGAGCGAGACACATCTTCCTCTTACTTAGTTACTCCTTTTTGCTCCTCCTTCCCGCTCGCTCGTCCTGCTCAAGCCGCCGACTTCGTCCCCGAGCTCCGGACCGCTTCCCCAGCGGACGAGTGTTTCTTCCCGAGTCGTCGTTTCTGACTCTTCCGGGGCCCAGTTGAGGCCCACAGAGGCCGAAAGCAAGGCACACATTTTCTCACATTCGGATCCAGCGTAAGATCTTTGGGGAGTTCAGTGGTCTTTGCGCTTGCGGCGCCTGTGCGTCTCCCACACGTATGTTGGTTATCACACATACAGGGAGATAGAGAGAGAGAGAGAGAGAGCGAGAGAAAGACAGAGAGAGAAAGAGATAGACCATCGGAGCTCGCTTGCACACAGCTGAGCGCGGCTCAAACATTGTGCCATGATGGTCACAGCTGGACGCCGCTGGGCACTGCGTATCTGATAGCGTTTCCGAGTCGCCAACGAAGCATAACATCTCCATCCGCCGGGTAAGAGTTATGTCATGCACAGGATCAGTGCGAGAAGTCAGTTGCGTATGGGCCGGTCCTGGGCAGTTGACGATTTGCGTTTCCCCTGAGTCTCTCCGTTTCTCCTCTCCGGCCTCCTGATCCTCGCCACCACTCCCTCCTCTCTCCTCGGTTTCTCCCCGCCCCTCTTTCGATACAGTTCGATATCGATTCTGGCCGGCTCGGTCCGATTCGATTCCGATATTCCGACGATCCGATGCGGCCCGATGTTCGCATGGGCGATGTTGTGGATCTTGGCCCAGCCGATCGGATTCGATTCCGACTCCGTGCCGATGAGGGCCGATCCGACGGACCTTGCGATCCGATCTGACGTTTCCAGCCGAGTCCCTGTTGGTTGGTCTTTCCATTGGGGAGTTGAGGCGAGACCCCAGCCTGGACCAGAAAGCAAACGATACCACCCCGCCTACGGCCCCAGCCTGGCATCGCTCGGACGTGTGCATTTTTTCCTCGGCGAGGGCCGTCGAGGAGCATCCTTGATCATTTGGCGAAAAAAGCCACGCACGAAACCGAAAAAAACACAGTGAATGGAGGTCCGAGCGATGGCCAGCCAGGGGGCTCAGCGTATGCCAGGAAATCTGACGCAGGTTTCTGCGAGGTGCGGCAGGTTCGCGTCGTGTCGACCGGTGGCGACCCCGCTGCCGGCGTTCCACCTTGAACGCCGCCGGCTACCCAGAATCGGTTGATGCTCAACGATCTGACGTTTCGGAAAAAGCCGATCGTTCAAGGTTGAACGATCCCCGCGGTGTCAGGCCAGGCCCCAACGCTGGGGTCGTCACGACACGAACCTGCCGTATGCGCTAAGGCCCCCGATGGGCCGTAGCGCAAGAATGATCGAAGGCCGTAGGTGGGGTGGTGTAATCTTCAGGAGGAGAAGAAACACACAGACACAACAAATCGTCGATCCCCAGGAAAATATGGAAAAGTATGGGAAATGTGGTGGAAGACGAAAGCCCAGAACATATGGGGAATCCTGGGATTTATATGTGTGTGTGTGCTTGTGTGCTTGTGTGCTTGTGTGCTTGTGTGCTTGTGTGCTTGTGTGTGTGCTTGTGTTTGTGCGTCCTGAGGCCCATTCGAGTCTGTTTTCTGGTCGACGGCCTGCGCCCAGGCGGATCCCCGACCCCCCGGGCCCCGCCTCTGCACCCGCCACCCTGCCGCGAGGAGATGGCGGAAAGCGGCCCTCGGCGCCAACCCGCGCGCGCGCGGGCGTGGCGCCGCCGTCGGCGCGCGGAGGAGCAAAAGGCGCCGGGGGGGATCCCATGCCACACAGCCAATCCTCGCCCTCCTCCTCCTCCTCCACCTCCTCCTCCTCATCCTCCTCTTCCTTTTCCTCCTCCTCCTCCTCCTCCTCCTTCTCCTCTTCTTCCTCCTCCTCCTTTTCCTCTTCCTCCTCTCCCTCCTCCTCCGCCTCCTCCTCCTCCTCCTCCTCCTCCTCCTCCTCATCATCATCATCATCATCAGCATCATCAGCAGCAGCATCATCATCCCCCCTCCTCCTTCTCCCCCTCCTCCTCCTCCTCCTCCTCCCCTTCCCCCATCTGCCATATCCTCCTCCTCCTCGTCGTCAAGAAGGGGCGAAGCGTCCTGGCTTGCCTTTTGGCCCTTGTGAATCGTGGGGGTCAAGACCCATGTTCCCTTGTTTCACTGGACCGGCACGCTTACGTGTAGCGCCGGCGTTTGAGCCCAAGCAAAAGGAGCGCTTGTCCCCCACAGCAGTTGCAGCGGGAGACTGGCAGCGATAGCGTGGCATCGGTCGAGTCGATCGAGTTCTCCGGGTTGTGATTCCCACGGCACGTTGAGGGTGATCGCGGGGGAGAGCACGAGCGAGAGCGAGGCTGGTAACGGAGTTCCGTGGTTGGCCCCACAGATTCCAGGACAGATTGCGGGGATTAGCCACCCCTACGAGCCATGGCGAGCGGAGACAACTACAACAGTTCAGTGGATGCCAAGATCCTGGTGCTGAAGGGCGAGACCCTGAAGGATCTCACCAGGCACAAGAGGGCTGTTCAGGCGGCGGAGCTGGGATGCGAGTCGAAGGAACAACGCACCGCCCTGGGGCCGAAGTTGCATCGGAACCTCCTCGGCGCGGACAACTCGATCAGCGTGTCGATCGAGCAAACAGACCCGAGAAAATACGCCGTGGAGGACGGAGCGAATGTGCTGCTCAAGTTTCAAGAGACCGAGCGCTTCGCGAAGAGCAGGTTCCGTGAGTTGCCGAAGGCGTTCGACACGTTCTTCGACCTCACACATTTCGATAGGAAAAGGTGAGGAGCCCATGGCGGCGTTCTGCGCGGCCATGGGGGCGGCGAGGCGGAACTTAGAGGAGGCGGACCCGGACACGAGGATCAGTTCGAATGAGTGCGGGTACCACACGCAGAAACGCAGCGGTTTGGACAAGGACGAACGTAACCAGGTGATTGCGAGTGTGGACGAGATGCTCAATTCCGTGAAGATCTCGACAACGCGGAAGAATATATTCCCTCGAGGCGGAGGTAGGCACCGAGAACGAGGCAACGGGGCGGACTGGAAGTGGACAGTGCACGCGAACGACACCGAGACTGGATAAGTTGACGGAGAGGACCACAACGGTGAGTACTGGGTCCAGTACGACGACGGCTACCGGCACGAATGGGACGATGATCGCGGAGTCTACACATGCACGGACGAGGACGAGGAAGGCGACTGGGACAGCAGTCGCCTGCCTGTTCTACCTCGAGGGCGAAGTTGACACGTCCCTGACGGGAGACGATGATGATTACCACCAGACCCTAGTCACAATGCGAGAGAGCCGCCTCAAGGTGAACAAGTTGCGGGCGTCAAGGGGGTTCTGAGAAGGAAGGATCGACGGTCTCGTGGACCAGAGCGCGGCGGCTGGCGGTCGCGCGGCAGGCAAGAACCCCGGGAAAAGGCAAACGAAAAAGGCAAGGGTGGCGGCAAGTCGAAGGACAAGCGCTGCAACAGGTGCGGTCGGATGGACCACAACGCACCGGAGTGCCCGGCCAACGGACACTCGGGGAAGCCAGCGAAGTGCAAGGGCCGCGACAAGGATCGAAGTCAGCCCCTCGTCCACGACGGCTTGGGTTCTGGGCAATGAGCGCTCTGGCGCGCGCGGCGCCGTCATGCGTGGACGTTAGGCACCAGGCGCGAGGCCCGAACGCGAACTACATCCACATGCAGCCCGAGAAGGATTACGATATCAGGATGGTGAACCTGTGCAGCGATCCGATCTCGCCGGACAGGCCCGAGCTCGTGGCGATGGTCTCCAGCGACGTCGTGCAAGCGCCCCCAGTGAACAGCGGGGCATCGATTGGAGTCGCAGAACGCGGATGGCTCGATCGCGTCGAGGCAGAGCTAGCCAAGCACGGTCTCAAGCCCGTCAAGGTGGAGGCACGCCAGAAGTTCAAGGGACTCGGTGGATCACGACGTGAGTCAAAGCAGAAGTGGATCATCCCGGTGGGCATCGGGGCTGCAGGAGTACTTCGAGATCCCCGGCGAAGTGGTCGGCTTGACGAGCAGGAAAGACCTCGCCGAGTGGAAGACGAACCTCTACACGCGCGATTGCGGCCACTGGGCGAATTTCCAGGTGCTCGGGGTGCGAGGGGAGGGGTTGGTGGGCGTGCTTGGCGCGACCTCTTCGACTACGACCTTGAGTCGCACGGGTCGCAGCCGCTCTTCGAGAGGTTCCGCGCGGGCGAAATGCAGCGCGAGCCGGGCGCGTTCCTGGTCGCGGAGACGCTGCAGGAGTACGACCCGGGCTTCCAGGTGGAGGAGCGCGCCGATTCGTGGGTCGCGGAGGCTTCGAAGAACGGCAGCAAGGGCAGATTCCAGAAGGGCACGCTCAAGCGGATCGACAAGTTGATGAAGGAATATTCGGTCATCTTCGACGCACAACTGCGGGACAGGAGACCTTCCTGTTGGGAGGTCGTCGCGAAGGAGGCTCGCTTTACTCGCGTAGCCTCGACGGGTGGTCGTGCGAGCGCGACCCTCTCGGATTAGCCGGTCGGGGTAACGTCACCGACCCCCGGACCCAGTCGGATTTCCTGTTCTTGATACAGACCCTCGAGCCCTGGGTGGTCTCGGTCGCGTTCCCATGCGTACCTTTCTCGAACGTGCAAGAGTTTCAGCGAGCTCAGGAGCTCAGGGCATGGGCGACCGGGTGGGCGACCTCATCGAGGATTTCAGGCCACTGGTTGACTTCTCGGCCAAGGTGCTTCGGACTCAGGCTGCAGGTGGACGCGCTGGCATCGGCGAGAACCCTCTCACGAGCCGTGCATGGAACGAGGAGCCGATGATGGACCTGTTGCGTTGGCACGGTGGGCGACCTCCATTGTACGAGATGGCTTTCCTACACCAGTGCATGTTCGGACTGACGGATGACTACGGGGCGCCGATTCGGCAGGCCACGCGTATGTTGGTGCCCAACGTATCATGTTTTCCGCGGTGGCTCGATGGCAAGTGCGACCAGCGCCGCGAGCATGCCGACACGGTCTGACGAGGCACGCTTCTCTCGCGGGCTAGCGTTCGGCCGGACGACTTGGGCAAGACCCCGGCGAGCGCTGGCGCTCACGAGGTAGCGCGGCGCACTGACCTGAAGATGCCGGGCATCGGAGACGACGCGACGAAGGTCCCGGATCAGAGGGCCATGCGGACGGCGGCCAAGGAGTTCAAGCTGAGAAGGACCTCATCGACGTGCGCGCGTTGAGGCAGGGCGAGGCTATCCCTGCACCTCGCGGAGCTGTGCGGCGCATCTACGCCATGTGCACCGACCGGGGCGCGCTGGCCGACTTCTCCGATGCCTACGCGGACGACCCGAACTTCATGGCGGTCGCGCTGGCCGCGAGGTATCCAACCGACACGGTGGTCGCGATCTATGCGGCGGAGCCGAAGGCGCAGACGTCTTTCCCCGCCGCGACACCCTTCTTTGGCAGCCGACCAGAAGCATTCAAGCCCGACGATCGTGAAGCAGGCGCAGTACATCGAGACCTACATCGCAAAGGCGAGAGTTTTGGCGACAAACCTTCGGACATCACCACGCCTCAGTGGGGCGCCCTGAGGAAGCTCCACCTGGACCTAGGCCACCCGTCGGCATTCGCGCTGAAGCGACGCCTGAAGTCCGACGGGGTGTCGCAGAAGGCACTCGACACGGTGGGCAAGTGGGACTGCGTCGCGCGCAAGGAGCTCGGGGGGCCTAACACTGCGAGGTCGGCCAACCTGAAGCTCTCGACGGAGTTCAACGATAATGTGTTTCTGGGCGAAGCCAAGGTGATTCTCTCAGACGAGACACGTTTGATGGTGATGGTGATCTTGGATGACGCGTCGAGCTCCAGGGTCATCATACCTACTGTGGCAGCGCGATCCATCACGGATGAGGAGCCCTCTCTGTTTCTCGCAAGGATTGCTATCATGGGCTGGCCCTCCGAAGGTATTCTTGTACGGCGCAGCGAAGGGCCACATCGCGCAGCGGTTTGCGGAGGTCGGCGAGAAGCACAACACCCTGACGAGGTTGGTCCCGGCAGAGGCGCCCCAGCTCAAAGGCAGAGTGGGGCGGGCCATCGACTTCTTCAAGGACCATTTCCAGCGCCTGATCCGCGATGTGCAGCTCACCAAGAGTGACGGCCCATCCGCGTGGACTTCGGTGATAGCGAGCACGCGCAACAACCGCATCCGACGGAATGGTTTCACGCCCCACCAGCATGTACTGGGGCGATCGCCTAATGTCCCGGCCTCGCTGATCGAGGCGACGAAGGGCGATCGGTGGCAGCTGGCGGCGCAGAGCGCAGCACTTTTCGAGGGCGGCCCCAGGAGGGCCGAGCAGATTTGCGCTGCGGCGAACCGGGCGTTCTTCGAGCTGGACAGCGACGACGCAGTGAGAAGGGCCACGGTTGGTCGGGTTCGCCCGCCGCGCGGGCCGTTCGTGCAAGGCCAGCTGGCGTTCTGCTGGGGTGAGGTGAAGCACGTGAAGTCGAGGCGTCTATAGGGCGAGCGCGCGCGGCGCGGCCCGGCCATTTCGCTGGCGGCCGAGGGCCGCGCAGGGCTGCACTTCAGCTACCGTGGGGTGCCGGTGCTCGCGGCGCCTGCGCAGGCGCGGCATGCCTCCCGCGGCGAAGCAGAGATTGCGGAGAACGAGGACCTCGCCAGGCAACCGTCGCAGTGGCGCGGAGGACCTACCCTCCAGAAGGGATTCGTGGACGAGCGTGGACCTGGGCCCGAGGGGCGCGGTGGCCAGCGCGACAGGCGTCGCAGGAATGACGACGGCGACTCGGACAACGAGGACGCCGTGGGCGACGCGCCTGCTACCAAGACGCCACGGGCGGAGGAAGCTCCACCGCCTCCCCCGAGGAGGTCCGAGGCTATTCCCAAGCGGGAGAAGCATATCAAGGAGGAGGCCGCACCTGAATCTGGAGTGCTACCCGAAGTGCTACCACTACCTGGAAATGGAAACGACGCGCAGGACGTTAGAGATGAAGATACACCCGGAGATGGAGACGACATGCAAGATGTTACGGCGAACGACCCACTTGTATCTGATGCAGCTGGGCAGGGGCCTGCCACGGACCTGGGCGCGGCCGCTGTGCCAAGCGATCCGCAGCAACAGCCTGAGCAATATGGACAGCCAGAACCTGCGCCACAGCCTGTTTCTCGAGGGCCCCTGCACTATCGATCACTACCTGGCGACTTCGAAGCAGATCGCGAAAGCCCCCGCGTGCGTCGCGAAGCTCTTAAGCAGAGTCGCCTCCCGAAGATCGAGGACGACGAGGTCGACGACGAAGTGCTCTTCCTCAAGGTGAGGAACCGCTCGAGGGGCGCATTCGTGGCCAGGAGGACTGGCGCCGCGAAGGAGCAGGTCACCCCGAAGAAAGGCCGGGAACTACGCAGCATCCCGCCAGCCTGGAGGACGGCATTCGAGGCGAGTGACCTGGAAGAGTGGCGTAAGTGGATTCTGCATGACGCTGTAGCGCGGCCGTGTGAAGAGGAGATCGCGGGCGTCGAGAAGACGGACATCCTGCCCATGAGGCGCGTCCGCGCCGACAAGAATGAACCTGCGAGAGGAAGTCTCTCGTGCGAGCAGCGCCCGCTGAGGGCGAAGTCACGGGGCATCGTCCCGGGCTACAAGGACAAGCAGTTGCTCGCGGGCGAGTTCCAGACGAACGCACCGACGCGCACGGACACGGCCACGGCGGTGACCACCCAGGAAGCTGCCAGCCAGCCTGGCTGGAGCCTCGAGCAGGGCGACGTAGATTCGGCATTTCTGAATGGGAGATGTCGACAGCTCCAGGCGCGCGTACTTTGGTGTTCCCAAGGGCGGCACGCCTGCAGCGCCGGAGCTTGGGTGGCCATTCGCCCCAGAAGGGGCAGTCCTGAAGGAGAAGAAGGGCATCTACGGGTTGAACGATGCACCCCTGTTGTGGCCCTGTCTCTCCCCGGGGCTTTGATCCAAGCTGCGCCCGGCTATCTTCGCATCTTCCACGACGAGAGGGAGAAGCTAATCGGCCTGATCGGGACACACGTCGACGATGACCTCGTCGCGGGATCGCCCGAGTTCTTCGCGAACCAGGTGGCCGAGCTGAGGAAGGCGCACTGCCGCGGCAAGTGGCAGACGGCGATGACCGGTTTACACAATTGCGGGCGCTTCCTCAAGCAGAACGACGACGGCGCGATCAAACGCAGCCAGAAGGAGTGCACGGAGAGCACCGAGAAGATACCCATCTCGGCCGAGCGTCCCAAGGATGCAAGGGCCACGGCGGAGGAAGGGGCCATGCTCCACAGTGGCAACGGCCAGATTCAGTGGCCGGCCCGTTCTACAAGGATGGACGCGGCGTTCCGGCTGGTGGAAAAGCCAAGCTCGGGCTCGCGACAGCGACTTGAAGGCGCAGGACCTGCTAGACTTCAACGAGCTCGTGAGCGACGCCAGGACCGGCCGCGTGGGCATAACCGACCAGAAGCTGGACATGGACAACGTGATTGCGGCTGCAGTGGGGGGCTCGAGCCACGGGAACGTGGGCAAGACGACCGCTAGCCAGGCGGGCCTGGTCACCTGGCTCGCGGACAACACTGACGGTCAGTTTCTGCGCGGGCTGCCTGCAAATCTTACTCCGATGTTGCGGCGATCACATCGCCTCAAACGAGTGGCGCGGAGTACGTTGGCAGCCGCGACGATGGCAGCGCTGGAGGCAGTCAAGAGTGGCGACATGCTGAGACAGCACCTGGTGGAGTTGCATCACGGGCTGGGCTACTGGGCCCACATGGACGACGTGAAGGCGATCAGGATGGTGGAGGTCACGGACTTTAATTCGCTCTACGACCTGCTGCAGAAACGAGGGGCGGCCCCGTCCGAGAAGCGGCTGCTCATCGACATCGAGTCGCTCAGGAACGAAATCGAGGTCAACAGCGTGGTGAGCAAGTGGGTGAACACCAAGCAGATGCTCGCCGACTGTCTTACCAAGCAGGACGTCCGCGCGGGCGACCACGCGAGGCACGCGCCCCGGACGGGCCGGTTGACGGGGGGCCCCATGGCAGAGCAGGTGATCTCCGAGCAACGGATAGAGCTGAAATGTCGCAGGGGTGATTACGATCGCTCGACAGGGGCCACGTATCCTCGTCGGCATCGGCCTGCCGACCAGCCCTTCGCGCGGGAAGGCTATGCGCATTTCGAGGACTGCGGCGCGGACTTGAGGTACAATGCGCGCAGCTCGACCGGCGCCCAAGAACTACCTCCGTTGGCGGATGATATTGGGCCAGCGCGAGGACGACATCTACTACGAGGAGCTCGAGGACATGGTCGATTGGTCGGGACTGGACCAAGTGGCGAAGCGTCGGAGGATCCCGACCCACGCGCGCATGCTGCTGACGACATACGCACCGACCAAGGAGGCTCTCGAGTGCCACGAGAAAGATTTCACGGAGAAGCACAACTTGAAGGAGACGGACACGACCGACGACATCGAGCACCACGAGGACGCGAACGTCATTTCGGACGAGAGCCTGCACACGGACGACACGGCGGATCTGGACGACGTGAAGGAGATCTACATGATGGACGCCGCGGGTGCCGAGACCGAGGAGATCGGAGGAGGCGCCGCTGGAGCTGGCGCTACGCTGGTGGCGCGCGCGGTGCGTCGGGTGGTGGTGGACCAGTGCGAGTGCGAGCCGAGGACCCGCAAGAAGGCCAATCCAACACCCCTGTGCCGAATGATGGCGATGAATGGGTCGAGATTCCCGGCCAGACCGAGCAGTCTGGAGGATCGACCACCAGGAAGAAGTCGACGTAGTTACCGATGGACGAGGCTCGCAGTCTGCATGAGCGGTTAAGGCGCGCATCCTACACGCAGGTGGCGCACGACCTGGGCGACGCACTGGAAGAAGACATCCTCGAGGCATACCAGCAGGGGGTCGCCGGATGCAACGAGCGCCGCAGCGCCGCAGGGCTAGTCACGTCACAGAACATACCCCGACAAGGCAAAAACAGCGAGAAAGGAACGGGCAAGCTCAGAGCTCCATGCCGAGTTGACCCAGATGAGTGCGTGATCCAGCAGGTCAGCTCTCGACTGTGGGCACCAACCAATACAAGGAGAAGGTACGAAGTGGTGGTCCGAGGAAAAAGAGCTACGCGCGGAGGTCAATGCGATTCGCCTCGAGAAGCAGAAGCAGGAGCTCCTGGGCCGTGCGAGGGCACCGACGGCCGGACGGTCCTCGACGGGATAAGATTGCATGATGCAGTCGCTCGTGAGTGAGCGGCACCTCCAGATGTATACATATTTCTTTTTTCGTTATTGAACTGAGCCAGCGTCGGCTCGCAGGCACGCTTAGTCAGAGAAAATAGTATGAGTGTGAATTGTGGGGGTCAAGGCCCGTGTCCCCTTGTTTCACTGGACTGAAACGCTTGCCTGCAGCGCCGGCGTTTGGGCCCAAGCAAAAGGAACGCCCGTCCCCCACAGCAGCTGCAGCGGGAGACTGGCAGCGATAGCGAGGTATCGGTCGATTCGATCGAGGTCTCCGAGCTGCGATTCCCGCGACACGTTGAGGGCGATCGCGGGAAAGCACGAGCGAGAACGAGGGCCCACCAAAGAATGTTCCAAGAGCCGCTTGTGGTTGGCACGACATGTTCTGAGAACGCTTCCTGCCGAGATTTTCTTGTTGTAGTACATCGGCGTTGTGTGTTGAAAACATTGTTGTCGTTCTTAACAAATTCTTTCGTTCGAAGAACATCTCGTGGTAGGCCGATGGGAATATCGGGACGGTCGGTCACTGTTCAAGTGCATCGCCGTTCTTTGAATCCTCCCATGGCTGCCTTTATCTAGCGTGCCATGGGGTAGTGGTATGACTCAACGCCTGGTTTGCGAAAAAAAAGTGCCCGAGAAGATGGGGTCAAATTTTTGTCTATGCGTGGGCCCCGAAGGTCTGGACCACTTCCGTAAGGCCGACTTTTCGTCTTGAGTCGTTTTTGGACGCTCCCGAGGCCCGGCGACGGCCCCCGGATGCCGAAAATTGACACAATCCCAGCATTCCAATCGTTTTGGAGCGTCGGATCTCAGGGGGGCTGAGGCCCCGGGGATCGCGCCGCATCGCCGATGCGACGGCGATACGGCTCGATGCAGCGGCGAGGCGGCGCAATCCCCCGGCCCCACCTGCTCGGAGCCGAGGCGGGGCCGGGGCTCTTCGTTGCCAAATGAGGCCGTTCGTTCCTTACGTTCCTCCTTCTTCTCCTCGCCCTCCTCCTCCTCCTCCTCCTCCTCCTCCTCCTCCTCCTCCTCCTCCTCCTCCTCCTCCTCTTCGTCTTCCTCCTCCTCCTCGTCTTCCTCCTCATCATCCTCCTCCCTTTCCTCCTCCTCGTCTTGCTCTTCCTCTTCTTCGTCCTCCTCATCGTCTTCCGCCTCCTCCTCCTCCTCTTCCTTCTCCTCCTCATCCTAGAGGTATCATTCGTTGTCCGCCCTGGGTTTCCGTGCTTAAACCGAAGAAATTTGGGTTTCCGGTCCTGTGCTGAAGAGCGCCGACCGTTATTTCGGAGGGTTCCTGCATAGACGTAGGCTGCGGCAGGGTATCACGAGACCCACTGCTCTTAGGGCTCCTGGTGATACCGTTGAGCCCCCGCGGAAGGTCGGGGGAGGAGGGGGGGAGTCACAAGACGTTTCAAGAGGCTTCTGGAGACCTCCAGAGGCGCGTGCATGCCTCGGCCTTGGGAGTCTTCGATTCAGGGACCTCAGCCTGGAGGGAATTCTCCTGAGGGGTGGTACGCGTCGCCAGGCCGGCCTTGCACGATTGTCTGTTAGGAGACGCCACTCCTGCTGTACGTATTCATTTATGTTGCCACCCGAGCCGCACTGGCCGCCACTGTCTCCCTATGAATCCTGTTGCACCTCATACTGTCGCTGCTGGGCGCACTGCTGGAACCAGCTGCCTCCAAGGTCCGTCGTCGCGTCGCATCTTCGTCGGCCTTGCTCACAGCAGCGACGACGACAGCGACGATGGCGACGACGGCGATTCCCAGTCGCCATGAAGGAGACCCCGGGGTATTCCCCAGGATCACGTCCGGAGTTTTATTTTCCCAACAATATTGTGGTGTTGGGTTCTCGTTTTGAAGAGACGTTCCCCGCGTTTCTTCCTTCGTTCCTTCCGTCCTTCCTTCATCGTCCCCCTCCTGCCTCCTCCCATCCCTGCCTCTGCTCTGCGCATGTCGTCGTCATCATCATCATCATCAGCATCAGCATCATCAGCATCATCAGCATCATCATCGACATCGCCATGTCATCGTCATCATCGTCATCATCATCATCATCATCATCATCATCATCAGCAGCATCATCAGCATCAGCATCAGCATCATCATCAGCATCAGCAGCAGCAGCAGCAGCAGCATCAGCATCAGCATCAGCATCATCATCGACGTCATGACCACCACCGTTATCGTCACCATCATCGCCACCAAGTTCGCCACACACCTTACACGTTTCGTGGCCCTACAGGGAGCCCCATCGAAGGCCTCAATGGCGGTGTTCGCATGCGTATCCCCCACCCAGCACAGGGTTTCGCGTCACCTAAAGCCCTAGTGGCGGTGTTCGCATGCGTCTCCCCCACCCAGCACAGCGTCTCGCTGGACCCGTAGGGAGCCCCACCTCAGGCCACAGTGGCGGTGTTCGCATGCGTCTCCCCCACCCAGTACGGCGCTTCGTGGCCCCATAGGGAGCCCCGCCTAAGGCCCCAGCGGCGGTGCTCGCATGCGTCTCCCCCACCCAGGGCAGCGTTTCGGGGCCCCACATCGAGCTCCACCTAAGGCCCCAGGGGCGGTGTTCGCATGCGTCTCTCCCAGGACAAGCGTTTCGTCGCCCCACATCGAGCTCCACATAAGACCCGAATGGCGGTGTTCGGATGCGTGTCCCCCACCCAGGACAGCGTTTCGTGGTCCCACATCGAGCTCGACCTACGGCCCCAGTGGCGGTGTTCGCATGCGTTTCCCTTACCCAGAACATCGTGTCGTCGCCCCGCAAGGAGCTCCACTTGAGGCCCCTGTGGCGGTGTTCGCATGAGTCTCCCCGCCGAGCACAGCGTTCCGTGGCCCCATAGGGAGCCCCGCCTAAGGCCCCAGCGGCGGTGTTCGCGTGCGTCTCTCCCACCAGGGACAGCGTTTCGTGGCCCCACATCGAGCTCCACCTAAGGCCCGAATGGCGGTGTTCGGATGCGTGTCCCCCCCCAGGACAGCGTTTCGTGGCCCCACATCGAACTCCACATAAGACCCGAATGGCGGTGTTCGGATGCGTGTCCCCCACCCAGGACAGCGTTTCGTGGCCCCACATCGAGCTCGACCTACGGCCCCAGTGGCGGTGTTCGCATGCGTTTCCCTTACCCAGAACAGCGCTTCGCGGCCCCACAGGGAACTCCACCTGGGTGGAGCGACCTGCGGAGCTGCGGAGCCCTGCCTGGCGTATTGCAAAGCAGACACCGCCTCGTGGCCCACAGAGGGAGACACCCTCACACACATTTCGCGCCCCCCCATAGGAAACCCCACCGAAGATTATACACGCGATCACAGTACCCACAGCTGAATTTGGTTGGGTCCTTCGCCAGGCTCATTTGTTTGACGCCCCCGGAGCCCGTCGAGGCCGCGGGGGGCCCGAGAGCGGGGAAAACCGCCAGGACCCCTTTCCCCACGGACCCGTTGCCTTCGCGCGGCCACGGCGGCAGGCGGCGAGGACGACGCACGCGCGCCCGACGCCAGGACCCGTCTCCTCCGATGCTTCGGCCACCGTGCTCCAGCCGCCCCCCCCTCTCACGAGCACGCACTCTCGACAAGGAGCACGCGCTTCCTTCGTGCTGATGCGGCGACGGGCGGCGGCAGGCGGCGGGCGCGCGCCCGCATCCAGGCGGGCCGCCTCCCCCCCCACCACCAGCCCGCCCGCCGCCCAGCCCTTTCGCTTCGCGGCGGCAGCCGGCGGGGGCGACCCCGAGGGGCGGCATTTCCCTCTCCCTCTCCTCCTCCTCCTCCTCCTCCTCCTCCTCCTCCTCCTCCTCCTCCTCCTCCTCCCTCCTCCTCCTCCTCCTCCTCCTCCTCCTCCTCCTCCTCCTCCTCCTCCTCCTCCTCCTCCTCCTCCCCCTCTTCATCCTCCTCATCCTCCTCATCCTCATCCTCCTCATCCGCATCTTCCTCCTCGTCTTCCTCCTCATCCTCCTTCTCGTCTTCCTCCTCCTCATCCTCCTACACTTTCCGTGACGACCACCTCGCTTCGTTTCAAGTCATGAGCAGGCGGCCGGGGTGGAGCTTCGCGGGTACCCTGACCTCCCAGAGTGCCAAACAATAGTTTTCGAGACTCATGGAACTAGTTGGATTGCCTCAGATCTCAATTGCGATTTAGAGTCAAAGGATTTGGGACGTTAACTTTTTGCGAGCCCTCCTGCCAGGTCAGGGTAAGCAAGGGGCTCGACACGGAATGGGTTCGTCATGGAAGGGGTTCTTCACGGAAGGGGTTCGTCATGGATGATGTAAGTCGGGCGTGTCCCTCGACAGGATGAATCTTCAAAAATAGTCAAACAAAAATCGTTTTGGGACGATTTGTTGATGATTGTTCTGTGTACGCTTGAACATCTGTTGAACAGGTTTTGGATCTCTCGTCCAGAATCCGCCTGTAGGGGGACATGCCCGACCTAATGGGAGATGCGATCTGGAGCCAGATGTTCCCGTCCCGACGCGACGTCGCCGACGCCTCCTCACAGAAAGGGGGCTCCTCAGGGGCGGGGCTCGCCTCTCCGTGAGCGGGGGGCCGGGTCAGGCTGCGCCGGAGGAGGGGCCGCCGTCGCCCCCGCCGGGGAAAGCCTGGGGACCCCAGGGTTGAGTCGGGCCTGTCCCTCTACAGAGGAGCAAGATCAAAGAATAGTTAAAAAATTAGGCTGGGGACGATTTTGCAAAATATGTTTGACAGGAGCATGTTTTAGCTATTCTTATGTTTCGTCCCAAATCCGCCTGTAGGGAGACACGCCCAACCTGACCCCACAGTTCGGTTCCCACCTGAGTCCGTCCAGCATCTGAGCTCGCTCGGCCGCCGAATGAGCAGCCGAACGGGCTCCGTTCCGATGGGGTCGATCCGGAGTCCATTCGGCGACCGAAGGGGCTCAGACGCCGAATGACCTCAGAAGGGAACCCAGGCTTGGCCTTGCTCGGACGTGTGCATTTTTCCCTCGGCGAGGAGCCTCCTGGATCACCCCTGCGAAAGACTGAGCGCACGGGAGTCGGAAACTGCACGGGGGCTGCACGTCCCAGGCCAGCCACAATTGGGGCAGCTGCGGTCCTTACCCCCCCTGGGCGACCCATCGATTTCGACACCCCTCTCGAGAGATCGTCGATGCGATGGGTCCCCCCAGGGGGGTAAGGACCACAGCTCCCCCAGTTATGGCTGGTCGGCGTCCGAGCGATGGCGAGCAGGGCGAGCCCCCCGCCGGCAGCGGGTCGCGCGCCGCAGCCCGCCGGGAGAGATGCCGCGATGACCGTCGGCCGCGGGAGGCCCCCCCGCCGACGGCCGGCGTCCGCAGTGGCGCCCCTCTCTCTCAAGCAGTGGCGACGCGTCCTGGCGTGCCTGCGGGCCTACCAAACAATGTTCTAAGAACCTTTTATGGCTTCCACGAACTGTTCTCAGAGCATGTCTGGCTGGGACTGTCTTGTTTTAGCACATTTGGTTTATGGTATACGAAACTTGCTTATGTTATTACATCACTTCCAGGTTCTAAGAACGTTTCGTGTTTGTGTTCTAAAAACGTTGCTTTTGCTATTAGAACATGTTTGGGGTTCTACGAACATGCCGTGGCAGGCCTATAGGAATGCCAGGACGGTCGGTCCCTGCTCAACTATCTCTGCCAGCGGAGGCCTCGAGGCGGTGCGGTGGCCACGCCGTCGGGGCGAGTCGGTGGAGAGTCGAGGGGGCAGGGCTCGTTTCAATTCGTCCGATTTCGATTCGATTCGATTCCGACGGGTTCCGATTCCGATTCGACTCGATTTCGGTTTCCGATCTGGGATCCGATTTCTCAGTGGAGGCCTGCTGGCTTGCCGATGTCGGCCGATTCGGCTTTTCCCGACTCGGCTGCCAATATCCGCCGATCCGATTCATGTCGATCGCCGATTCGACTTATCGATTCGATTCTGAGCCTCCTGGAGGGGTCGGAAGGGCCGAAATGTGCGCGGACAGAAGGTTATCCAGCGTGGTCCCCAAGCATTGTGTTTCTGGCAATCGATGTTGTGCAATACATGTGGAGCCGTATACGTGGTGCAACCTATGTGGTGCAATTGATTTTGTTTGCAGTGAGGTATCCACTCCATTGCTCGCGCAAACATCCCACCCACCCACCCGCAACTTGGTTTGCAAACGCCATGCGGCGGCGATTGCGATGAGTGCGTGGCGCTGCCGGTGCATTTCTGCGGCCGCGACAGCCCGTGCATGCTCGCGCGCGCAGCGGCCAGCTACTTTGGCGCGACCGACGCGGCCACGGTTGCGCTGACCTCTGGGCACATCCCTGCGGGCACTTCCCTGCGAGTCGGCGACTTGGGCGGGCGCGGTATCATGGGAACGTCGACAAAGGTAAACAAGATGACGTTAGTAGCGATGCGGGTGACGATGTTGACAACGACGAAGGCGCCGCCAGTGCAGACGCCGATGCTGACCACGCCGACGACGATGACGGCGTCTCCGCATCGGTGATGAATGTTTTGGAAAGAGTTCAACATGCGCGCGCGGCCGACGCGCGAGAATGGCCGCATAGTGTTATTCGACACGGATCGTGCCCCCCCCCACCCCAAGCACGCGCGCAAGGGCGTGCGAATGATGTTGGCATACAACGCGAGATGCCCGTTTGGCAGGATTGCATGGGAATGCCGAGGACATACGATTAACGTAAGAGCTCGGAAGAGCGCGACCGCACACAATTTTGAAAATTGATGTTGCGAAACCATGTGTTGTTGCATATTTATTGGGCACTTGGTTTTGAAGTTCTTACGAAACCGACGGTTTGTTTAATGATTCCGGCATGCGCGCGCGACGTCGCGCGCGCGCGTGCACTTCGTCTCTTTTGTTGCAAAGGGCATTCGCGACGGCACGCCCGCAACGGCGCGCGAACGATTTCGACATGCGCGCGCGAAGCCCGTTTGAAAACATTGTATGGAAATTTTGAACAACAAAGATTTGTTTGAGGGTCCGTCAGGGCGCGCGCGCAAGTTTTTTTTTTATATAAAAAAAAAAAAAAAAAAAAAAAAAACATCCGCGTTGCGAAACCCAGTGGTTTAATATGTATGTTGGTCACTCGGTGTTGCAATTCTTACGAAGCCGAAAGATGTTTGAAGGATTTTGGCGAGCGCGCGCGACGACGCGCGCGTGTGCACCTCGTCACATAGGTTGCTAGGGACTCTGGAACACATGTGATTTTTGTATAAGCGAATGCGCGCGTATACTGTGTGCTGCAGGGGATGGCGGAGGGGGTATGCCGACTCGGCTTGGATGATACGAACTCATATTTAGGATGGACGATGTGGTTGAATCATGTGTAAATTGCAGTATGAAAATGGGAGATGATAGCCCCAGGGGGTTATTACTGTTCCAGGCAAGAGAATACATATATGTATGTATATATATATATATATACACACGTGTATAGACATAAACTGTCAGTCTGCATGTGTGTGTTTCTATATGTGTGTCTGCCTGCCCGCCTGGCTGCCTGTTTGTTTGTTTGTTTGTATGTTATGTTGCCTGTCTCTGGAATTACGCATGTATGTATGCATGTATAGATGTATGCATGGATTGATTATCTTACCGTCGCCGTACTGATCCAGAGGGCCCACGAGGCTTGCAGGTTGTTTTTCCGAAGCAGTGTTGACCCCTATTGGGGGCTGTGTAGGCGTTTCTTGGGGGCCTTGTTTGGCCCTCTTGGGGAGCTGGGGCCTGTTGGGGGCCTCTGGGGTGCCTCTCGGGCGCCGTTTCGGGGCCCCCATTGGGCCGTCTTGGGCGCCTTTAGGGCCGTTTTGGTGCTCTTTTGGGCCGTCGAGGAGGCCTCGTGAGTGCCTTTTGGGCCGTCCTGGGGCGATTTGGTGGGCATCTTGGGCCATCTTGGAGCGCTGGGAAGGCGAGAAGTTGCTGATGGTGAAAATATACGTTGTGCGAAAGGGAATGTGGCGATGTTGGCCTCTTGGGGCTCCCTTGGGAGGCCTCTTGTGGCGTTTTGGGGCGAAACGGGAGCCTCTGGGACTGTATGGTGGCCATCGTGGGCGGCTTGTAGCCCTCTTGACCCAGCTTGGGGCCCTCTGGAAACCATCAGAAGCCGTCTTGGGCCCTCCAGGCGCATTCGGGACCCAGCGGCTGCCCAGCGGGACGATGGTCTAGCCGGATCAGTTTTCGATGTATGTAAGAACTCGTTGTATTAGTACAGTTGTGTGTATGTATGTGTACATGTATGTGTTTGTATGTTCAGCGTTTTGCTTGCATGAATGCATGCGTGATGATGTGTATGGCTGTTTGTGTGTATGTGTGTATGTCTGTCTGTCTGTCTGTCTGTCTGTCTGTCTGTCTGTCTGTCTGTCTGTCTGTCTGTCTGTCTGTATGCATGCATGTATGTATGCATGCATGTATGTATGTATGTATGTATATGTGTGTATGTGTGTGTATGTGTGTATGTATGTGTATATGTATGTCTGTATGTGTGTATGGATGGATGTATGGATGTATGTGTATATGGATATGTGTGTATGTGTGGGTCTGTATGTATGTATGTGTGTATGTAAGTATGTATGTATGTGTGTATGTATGTATGCATGCATGCATGAATGTATGTATGTTTGTATGTATGAATGTGTGTATGTATGTTTGTATGTAGTTATGTATGGATGTATGTATGTAGGTATGTAGGTATGTATTGATGTATGTATGTATGCATGTATGTATGTATGTATGATGCTTGAATGGATGTATGCATGCAAGCATGTATGTGTGCGCGGTGCACTGTTTAGTGCAACCTTTGTGGTGCGGCCCATTGTGTGCAATACATGTTGTGCAGGATACACGGTGCGATCTATGTTTTGCAATATGCGTGATGCAATATATGTGGTGCAGTCGATGTGGTCGAATCGACCCGGTGCAATCCATGGTATGCAATCTACGTGATGCAATCCACCTTGCCTAGTTTGATGTTGCCAATTCCACTGCTCGCGCAACCATCCCACCCACCCACCCGCAATTCGGTTTGCAAAACCCATACTGAGGCGGTTGCGTTCATGGCTCTGCGCTGGATGGCGCATCGCTGCGGCCACGTCAGCGCACGCAGGCTCGCATGCAGAGCGGCCAGTTAGTTTGGCGCGACGGGCGAGGCCGCGGTGGCGCTGAGCACCGTGGATTTTCAAGCGCGTTGCGCAGGCCGCGCTGACGCGCGGGCACTTCAGTGCGAGTCGGTGAATGGGGCGGTCGCGGTATCATGGCGGCGCCGACAACGTCAGACGCGACGATGATAGTAGCGATGTTGGCGACGAGGATGACGATGACGACGGCGAAAACCATGAGTGCGCCGATGCTGCTCACGCCGATGGCGATGATCATGTCCACGTGTCGGTGATGGACGTGTTGGAAGGCGTTCGACATGCGCGCGCGGCCGGCGGGCCCAAGTGGCCCGCATTCCATTGTATTAATTGACAGGGACCGTGTCGCCCGAGCACGCGCGCGAAGGTGGTCGAATGATCTCGATATGCGCGCGCGAGAAGACCGCTTGTTTGAATTTGATCTATACGTAGAAGACCAATGGTTGCCTTAAGAAATCGCAAGCGCGCAGATTTCCTTGACGAATCCTGTTGAATAACCCATGGTTGTTTCTCTTGTGTTCGGGGCACTTGGTTTTGTACTCCGCACGAAACCTAATGGGTACGATTTCGGCATGCACGCGCGAAAACGCGCGTGCGGACGTTGTTCGATGTGTTGCAAAGATATTTGTCGAGCTTGATGTTCCTTGATCAACGAGTGCGCGCATGGTGTCATTTGCCAGGGATGACCAATGTCATGAACTCACATGGAAAATGGGCGAGGGGGCAGAAACATATGTACATCGCATAACAAAACAGGCGGACGGATAACCCGGGGTGAATATAATGTCTTATAATAAAAGAGAATGTTTGCGAAGCGGCTACGAAAGCGGCGATTGCGACAGCACAGTCGCCAGACCGGCGGTCAGGCCCAGACGACGGGCGGCGACGAGGCGGCGACGGCGACCACGGAGCCGCCTGACCGACGGTCAGGCGCAGTTCTTTCGAACAGAGACGAGAACCCTCAAGTGCAAGCATTGTTTGGAGAATGGGGGCGAAGATCAAGAGCAGTTCTCATTACAGTTGAACTGGATTCGACGTTTGTGTCGCCGCGGGCGTTGCCCAGTTGAGACACAAGCTCGCCTACCCACCAGCGGCCGCTGTCGGTGTTGGACAACATGGGTTGTTGGGCATCGTACCCATTGTTTCCGTACCCGTTGCGGGCGTTCCACGGAGTGGGGGCATGATGTTCGGATACGTTGTCGCCTCGGGATGTTCTCCTCACCCTCATCCTCTCGGCTACGACCTCCTCGCGTCGAGTTTTGATGCTGATGGAGGTGCTCGCAGTTTCCCAGAGGCTCTTCCAGCATCGAGATGCCTTCCAGCGGCTGCGCCTCGCTTGGGTTCCCCAATTGCGTGTGGCCGACCCTTTTGGCTGGAGCGCGAAGCCCATACAATCGTATTCCCCCCGCGTCGTAAAGAAGTGGTGGCGGAAGGTGTTCTGACATGTGTCCGCCGCGGGTATCGCACGCAAGGTATGCTTCACGCTCTGCGTATCTCCACCAGCCCGTTCAGAAACCCTGCCCATGAGAGTTGGCGGGAGAAGGGATGAGGAGACACAGATAGTGAAACAGAGTGTCAGAGGCGACGATAAGGGCGACTAGCCCAGGGGGGAGCAACACATGTACTCAGGTGCGCCGATGATCTATGTCTTCGAAAAGGCTCCCGGTCGAAAACGTGTAATGCCCGCCCCTGGACTATTCGCTCCTATCGTCGCCACCGAAAGTGGACAACCAGGAAAGATCTCTGTATCCCCACCTCTCCTTCCCAGGGCGGGCGAAAGAGGGGGATAGCAAAGGGCGGGGCAGCGAACCAGGAGGAGGAGCAGGAGGGAGGAGCAGGAGGCGGAAGTAGGAGGAGGAAGGGCAAGAGGAGGAAGAGCAGGAGGAGGAGCAGCAGGAGAATGGAGGAAGGAGAAGCAGAAAAGAGGACGGGGCTGGCGGGGCAGGGGGAGGAGGAGGGAGGAGCAGGCGGAGGAGGGAGGAGCAGGAGGGAGGAGGAGAGGTGGGGAGGAGGAGCAGTAGGAGGGAGGGGGAGGAGGATGAGGAGGAGGCACACCAGCAGGAGGCGAGCCCGACCCGGCCCTCCGCCCCCCCACCGCCGCCCAGGGGCCAATGAAGCGGCGCGGCGCCCCGGTGTTGCTGTGGGCCGCCGTGGCCCTGGAGGCGCCGAGCGAGGGCGGCGGCGGGGGAGGAGCGACGACGGGGGGCGGGCGGGGAGGGGATCCAGGAGGGAGGAGGGAGGAGGGAGGAGGGAGGGAGGGAGGAGGGAGGGAGGAGGGAGGAGGGAGCAGGGAGGAGGGAGGGAGGGAGGAGGGAGGGGGAGGAGGAGGGGGAGGAGGGAGGAGGAGGAGAAAGGGAGGAGGAGGAGGAGGAGGAGGAGGAGGAGGAGGAGGATCGAGGGGGAGGAGGAGGATCGAGGAGGATCGAGGAGGGGAGGCCGCGAGGCTTGAGGCGTCTGGACGCTATCGTAAGTTCCCGGAGGCTTTTCCAGCTTCGGGAAGGTCTGCCGCAGGCTGCGGTTTGCTGGGAGAGCGCTCCAGGAGTGCCCAGATCGGCCCAGGCAGCCCCAGGAGATTAGGGCGACCACGAAGTTATCAGTATCGTTTAACCGACCCCCATCCCCGTCCTCATCCCCTTCGAGACCCCCACCAAATTACCACTCCACTTGGGGATACACCCCTCGAAACCCGAAGGGAATGGCCTGTATCCCCATCTAGGAGGTAAATCGGCCAGTGGGGCCCAGGCCACGCCGCTGGGGATGGGGTCGGATAAACGATGCTCAAGTTAGTCGCGCTTGCCGCTTCGCGGTCTGGGCGATTCCAGAGCGAGGCGCGAGTCCCTCATCCTGTTCCAGGGGGGGGGTCAGCGGCGCGAGAGCGCGAAGAGAAGCGAGCTTCGCGGAGCGCGAAGCGCGAGGATAGTTGCCCTGGGGAGACCCGAGCTGTTTCTCGCAAGCCAGACACCTCCTCGCTGGGAGAACAGCACGGCAGGGGGCCGCCTGCGCGGGCAGCGGCGCGCAGGCTGCAGCCCGCCGCAGCGTCGCGTCGTGGGCGCTCTTCCGATGCGCGCGGCGGGACCCGCCAGCGGCCCGCGCAAGCCACCGCGCCTGGTTGCCGCGCCGTCGTGTGTGGGCCGGGGCCTCCCACAAGGGGCCAGACTGGATGTCGGCGGCGAGCCGAGGTCGGGGAAGCGCAAGACTCGAATTCGCCGGAGTTCGAGTCTGCGTGCACTCTTTGGCGAGCCCGTCCTTGGTCTGGGCGCTCCAGAGTTCGTGGGGTGTCTGAAGGCGGAGCCCGCGTCAAATTCCAGAGCGGGTCTCGTCATGTTCCTCACCGCCCCGTCAGGCAAACCCGACTCCCCCGAACCAGAGTCTTGCGTCTCCCCGACCAGGGGGGAAGTGGGAGGGGCAGGCCCCCTGGCCTTCTGAGAAGCCGTGCCTGTCTCAGGAGAGGGTTGCTACATCTTCTCATGAGGTGCGATGGCTTCTCAGAAGCCCCGCCGCCTCTGAGAAGACCTGCCCACTCTCTCACTTCCCCCCCGGGCTCGCCGCCGAGGATGGGCTCGGAGATCGGGCCCCATTCGGGATGACTCGAGGCAGGCATTACCCCAGACCCCTGCCTCTTGCGGGAGAAAACGCAGTGAGGTGTTTCGCCAATGTTCACAGTATCGTCGAAAGGGGCAGTTTGGACATCGGCGGATTCTTTTGCCGTTCCCTCATCCTCATCTTTCCTCCTCTTCTTCCTCTTGTTCGGGGAGGGGGAAGGGGAGGGGCGGGTCGAGGGGAGAAGCGGAGGGGGAGGTGTGGGATGGAGGTAAGCAGGGCGAGGGAAGCAGGTGCAACAGGGAGCGGGGAGCCACGAGGAGGGAAGGCGGAAGGAGGGAGGGGGAAGGGGGGGGGAGGGGCCGGGGCCGGGGAGGAGGAGGAGGAGGAGGAGGAGGAGGAGGAGGAGGAGGAGGAGGAGGAGGAGGAGGAGGAGGAGGAAAGGGAAACGGGGAGCCACGAGGAGGGGAGGGGGGAGCGGGGAAGGTGGGGCGACAGAGGACGGGAGGGTGGGGGGAGGTTGGGGGGGAGGAGGGGGCCTGCAAGGGTCTCGGGTGTGTGGGCGGAGCTGCGTGAGAAACGAGGACGGCGGCGACGAGGAAACGGAGCGGAGGAGGACAAGGACAAGTGGCAGACCGACGACGACGACGACGACGACGGCGACGGCGACGGCGACGGCGACGGCGGCCGCGGCCGCGACCGCGACCGTGACGGCGACCGCGACGACGGCGGTGGTGGCGGCCCGAAGCTGCCGGGCGCCTCGCTGCCGCCGCGCCCGACGCGCAGGTCGCGGCGCGGCCCGCCTCGGAGGGAAGGCCGCCGGGGCGCCCGCGGGGCGCGGGGGCCCCCAGCGCGCGCCCCGGCGGGCGCAGGGCCCGCTGATGAACGGATGGGGGCCCTCCAGGGCCTGTTGCCGTCCGACGGTCCGATAAATTACGGCACCTGCAGTCAAGCAGTGGCGAAGCGTCCTGGCTCGCCTATAGGCCTGCCAAGCAATGCAATGTTCTAAGGACCTGTTGTGGCTTCCACGAGGTGTTCTCAGAACATTTCTGGCTGAGGCTGTCTTGGTTTTGCATCGGGCTTACGTTCTAAGAACATTGTTTTTGCTCTTAGAACATATCTGGCATCTAAGAACATGTCGTGGTCGCCCTATAGAAATGCCAGGACGGTCGGTCCCTGCTCAACCCCAGGGCCCGTTGCCATCCGACGATCCGATGCGTTAAGGTACCTGCACGGCGTTGGTCAAACAAAATTGGGGCAGGGATACATCGTTCCAGAGCGTTCGGGAACGCTCTCAGGCGGTTCAAGAGCGCGCCCGATGCATCCTCCAGAACCGCCTGATCTGAGAGATCTCCGATTCGAAGGCCTTACGGCCAGTGCCGCCGACCCTAAGAGGAAACAACAACAACAACGACGACAACAACAACAACAACAACAACAACAGCAACAATCATTTAAGACTGGGGACACTCCGTTCTCACCAGTGCCAGGGTTTTCATAGGAGGCGGGCAATACCCCCACTTTGTGGGGGGGCCGGTTCAAGCTCTACCAAGTTTCCAAACGACTCTTCGCCACCACCCACACCCAGCTTCCCGCCCTATGACGTTCGGACACTTCACTTCGTGGCATGCGGACGACCGTGGCTACTATTCAGGGCCCCGCGGCCGACGACGACGGCGTGCGCGCGCGAAGAAAAAACGAATGTGTCCCGCATGGTATTATTTGACAGGGATGATGGCCCTGGCAGGTGCGCAACCGTTGTCGCAGAAGTTCGAAAAAGTTGCTCGCAAAAGCCCGTTTGACAGAAATGTTTAAAAAGTGTTGGGTTTCCTACGAATCCGCAAGAGCGCGCGGGATGAGATTTTGACATTTTTTTGTTGAAAAACCATTGGTTTTTTGATGTTTTTATGTTAAAATCGCTCCGAACACTAAGCTTTTGGAAGGATTTCGTCTTGCGCGCGCGAATGTCCACTTTACCTTATTTTTTGCAAGGGATTCTTGAAATTTGATTATATTAGAACAAGAAATGTCATTTTATAGTGTTTTTTGCAAGGGAAAACGGATTACAACAAAACAACCGGATCTGGATCACATCGTTTTGCCTGAGGCTTCCTCACGAAAATGATGAAAACGTGGCTGCGGCCTAGGCGCGGCGGGGGGGGCGTGCACCAGGGGGCCCAACAATAATCATTCTTTAGAAGTAATAATATTCAATAACTTCGAAGGCCTTACGGCCAGTGACGCCGACCCTAAGAGGAAACAACAACAACAACAACAACAACAACAAGAACAACAAGAACAACAAGAACACACAACAACAACAACAACACCAACAACAATAACAACAATAACAACAACCACCACAACAACAACAACAGCAGCAGCAGCAGCAACAACAACAACACCAACAACAACAACAACAACAGCAACAACAGCAACTTTAAGGCTGATCGCCCTCATATGCTCGAGTGTCCAATAACGCGTATTCCCCAAACCCTCGATACCCGCCCTCTTCGTCTTTCTTCCCTGCAGGCCGGGCCCCGGCAAGCGGCGGGGCGGCCGCGGACCGTCGGCCTCGCTAGCGGCAGCGCTGATCGGCGGGGCGGCCGCGGACCGTCGACCCGACCCCAAGAGGGACGGACAGGGGACCGACCACGACGACGACGACGAGGACGACGACGGCGACGTCGAAGACGACGGCGACGACGACGACGACGGCGACGACGAGCGAAAGCGAGAGCGAGAGAGAACGACAGCAGGGCCACGAAGGGCACGAAGTAGGCCACGAAGGGCGACAGCGGGGACACGAAGGGAATGCGTATGGGGCCACGAAGAGCGCGAACGAGCGGGGGCCACGGTGTGCAGATAATGCGGGGCCACAGAAGGCAGCTATGGGACCACTTAGGACAGTGAGGGGGACACAGATGGCGACAGCGGGGCCACGAAGGGCATGCACATGGGGCCACCACGGGCGCGACTCCTGGGCGCCTGGGTGTCGGGAGCGCGGCGCTTGGGCAAATTGCAGGAAATCCCAACGCAAGGCCAGTCTTCAGTAAGTTGCAAGCAAGTCTCCAGCGAGAGCGCGACCCCAGAGCGCCGGCAGAGTGATTCCTGAATAAATTTTCTGGAAGTCCCAAGCGAGAGCGCGTTTCCTGAATAAAATGCAAGGAAGTCTCGGGCGGGAGCGGGGGTCCTGGCTGAATTGTAAGGAAGTATCAAGCGGGAGCCGTTGTTGTGGGCCAAGGGCCCAGTTTGAGCAGGAAGACTTTCCCTGTCAAGAAACAGGGTGCGAGCGACGAGGGGCACACTTCGATTGAGAAAAAACAGTCTGCACCGGTGGGGGGGGATCAACAATAATTATTCTTCAGAAGTGAGAATTCAACAGCGACGACGACGACGACGACGACGACGACGACGACGACAACGACAACGACAACGAAAACGACAACGACAACGACGACGACGATGACGACGACGACGACGACGGCGACGGCGACAGCGACGGCGACGGCGACGGCGACGACGACGACGACGCACGACGCACGACCACGACCACGACCACGACCACGACCACGGCCACGACCACGACCACGGCCACGGCCATGACGACGGCGACCACGAAAACATTGACAACTGCAGGAAAATCGTTGATTTTGCCATTCTGGGGTTCCCTTGGGGTGTTCTTGGAACTGTCTCCAGCCTGCCTCTTCGGGGCTTCTTGGGCACTTCTTGGGGTCTGCTGGGGGCCTCTTGTGGCGGAAGGCCCGAAATGTCAGATAGTGTTCCCCTTTTCGGCAGCCTCTTGGGGCCCTTATGGGGTCCTCTTTGGCCACGGAGCCCCTTGGGCCGTCTTGGGGCTGCCTTGGGCAGTCTTTGGCGGTTTGGGGGCACTTCCAGCAGTTTCTTGGGCCGTCTTAGTGCCACTTCGGTGGCTTATTGGGCCGCCTGGAGCGTCGGACCCCCCAAAGGCGAGGACGCGAAACACATGGAACAACGACATGGGCATCAACGGTTTTCGCCTTTCGGGGCCGTCTTGAGGCTCCTCTCGGAGCTCTTCTTGGAGTGTCTTCTTGGGGGGTTCTGGCGCCGTCTTGAAGATATCCTGGGCCGTCTTGGAGCGATCTTGGGGTGAGTCAGGGCCCTCATGGAGCAAGACGCAGTACAAGTAAGCTCGCAGCGTTGAGGAGGCAAGAAATCGAAGGGGAAAGCCCGCGGGACACCACCCCCGCGGGGGAGAGATCAAAAGGAAGGGGCCCCCTTTCGACTCGATCACGACGTTGCTCGTTTTTCCTTTCGCTGGGACGGGGGGAGCGACGACGGCGACGACGACGACGACTCAAACAGAAATGCCCCTCATACACACCGACAGGGTCGGCGGATTTATCCTGGTCCGATGTTGGTTATGTCCTGGTTTCGTCTTAGTTGTCGTGCCGATGCGGTCCAGTCCGGCGCACGTGCCGATCCGATCCGATTGCCTGGTGCGATGCTGAGTGACCGGGCCCTCCTGGCTCGGCCCAAGTTTGGAGGTGTTTCCGGTGCGCTTCGGCTGCCGATCGCCTCGGCAAGGCTCCGAGCACCGAAGAGCACCAAGAACGGCCCAAGGCGGCCCAGAAACAGAGCACGCCTGCTCGATGGCACACCAGAAGAGCCCAAGAGAGCTCCAAGACGGCCCCAACAGATCGCCCAAAGATGGCTCCACCGTTTCTGAAGTGCCCGATCTCTTCTTGCAAGCCGCGCGCCTTTTCCGAAGACCGACCCCCTCGTGCCCCCCCCCCTGCGCGCCGGCAGGCTAGCGCTGGCGTGCCCAGGGGTTGTCAAGGGCATCCTTGCTTCGCATCCGGCTGCATTCAGTCGGTTCGGTTCGGTCGGTTGCTCTGCCGCTGCGTCCATGCTACATTGGGTCCAACGGTCTCGTCTGGTTTCGGTTGGTCACGAAAGACGAACGCGTCAAGGACAAAACTGACGAGGGTACGTAATTAGATGTGCTCTTTGTTTTCGGCGTCTGGAGGCCTTTTCCTGCGCCAGGCACGCTAGAAATCGATCCGGTAAACAAGATTGGGAGGGATTTGGGGATCGACTGTGAGCGGATCGGACACATGCATGCCCAGACATTCGCGGTCTGCACACCGAGGCGCGATCCCATGGATACAGGATCCCATGAACGCGCTCCGCGCGGGGCCGTGGGGTCGCGGTCGAGGGCTTCAGCCCGCGAGCCCGTGGATGTGGATGATTTGCGGTTCCGCCAACTAGAGGGATGAGGGCAGACGTAGCTGCGTATTGGCCATGCCTCGTGGTCCTCTCTGCTGTCCTGGGCCTGCGCCCGTCGCCGAGGCCAGTCCACCTCGGGATCCTGGCCAGACGCGCTCCATAAGAGAGAGCCTCGGGGTTCGGCCCTTGAGGAGAGGGGAGGAGGTGGGGGGGCGGAGAAGGAAGAGCGCAGGCAGAGGCAGAGGGAGAAGGGCGAGGCGGAGACGCTCGGAGCTCCTGGGCAGTCTGCGTGCTCCAGGAAGGTCGGAGAGGTGGGTCGGGGAGGAGAAGGACGAGGTGGCCGAACGGAGGGAGGGCGATGTGGAGAAAGGGAAGCCTGAACATGGACGAGTAGGATTGAGCGGAGGAGGAGGAGAAATTGGGGGATGAGAGCGAAAAGAGGACGGGGAGACGGCGCTCAAGGAGGAGGAGGAGGAGGAGGAGGAGATGGAAGGCCTAAGTCGGCAATCCTCATTCTTCCCACGCCACACAGGACGCAACAAACACCGTTCTTCGTGTCTGATCAACGTCAGAAACAAGGGGAAGGAGAAGAAAGAGGAGGACAGGAGGAAGGGGGGAAGAAACAGAGGAGGGGAAGAATGAGGGGAAGTAGGAAGAGGGTGAGAAAAAGACGAGGCAGGAGGGGGCGTTGGAGGATGAGCAGGAAAAGTAGTTGGAGGAGGAGGTCGGCGAGGGCAAACATACGGATGAGGATGACAGGAGGACGTGGACGAGGATTGGGATGGGGAAGACGAAGGGGTCGATGGTCATGACGATGAGAAGAAGATGGACGAGGAGAAGGAATAGGACGACGAGGGTAAGCAGGAGGATCGGGGGAGGAGGACGGAGAAGGGAGTGAGGAGGAGCAGCAGGAGGTGGGTTAGGAGAGGAGTGGCCAGAAGGGAAGGGGAGAGAACCTCCAATAAAGTCAAGGGTTTGAGCAGTGATGGATCCCTCCTTCTCTTGCCTCGCCATCCTCATCTTTTACAACCTGGGACCAGGAGACGTCCAGGCTCACCCTCCTCCTCGCCCCTCTGTCTCGTCCGTGTCATCGTCATCGTGGGCGCAGTCCCCCCCCCCCCGGCCTCTCGTGGGCCCATCCCGGCCACCTGTCTGGGCCGCGTCCTGCCGCGGCGACGACGACCTCCAGAGGCGTCCAGAAACCCTCGAGACGAAGACGCCACGAAGACGCCGACGACGACGTCCGCGTCGTTGTCGCTGTCCGCGCCGTCGTCAGCGTCGTTGGCGTCGTCGTCCGCTTCGTCGGCGCCGGCCGTCGTTGTCGGCTGCGGCCCCGTCGTCGGGCGGCGACTGCGCCCGTCCTCCCTCCGGCAAGGGCGCCGCTGCTGCGCCGCGGGCAGCTTCGGGAGGCGCGCGCGAGGGGGCGGCGCGCGCGAGCGCGGAGCTCCTCCGCGGGGGGAGGAGGAGCCACCCTGGGCGTTTGCTCGGCTAGACCTGTGCGTGAACTGGTCAGTCAATGATAATTCCCCCAGATGCCACGCTGGTGTACATGTCGCAGCGTGTGGCCAGCAAGGCCCTCCGTGTTTGCCTCTGGGGCAAATCGGAGCGGAGGTGGGGAAGCGCTGCTGCAATCCGGCCCACCCCTCCTGCCCCACATTGGTTGCGCAATTATCTAGCCAGAAATTGATGGCAGAACGATCATCACATATTTTATTGATTCATTGGTTCCTACATCTATCTTCACGATCCTCACATGTGTTGATCCTCCTTGAAGGCAGAATGATCTGCCCCGTTCGATATTTTCCACCGGTGCATTTACTAGAGGGTTTCGTTTGTACGGGTGTTATGAAGGTTGTGTTTCTGCCCTATGCCCTCTCCTCTCCTCCTCCTCCTCTTCCTCCACCCCCTCCTTCCTCCTCCTCCTCCTCCTCCTCCTCTCCTCCTCCTCCTCCTCCTCCTCCTCCTCCTCCTCCTCCTCCTCCTCCTCTCCTCCCTCTCCTCCTCCCTCTCCCTCCTCCTCCTCTTCCTCCTCCTCCTCCTCCTCCTCCCTCCTCCTTCCTCCTCCTCCTCCTTCATCGTCCTCCTCCTCCTTCATCCTCCTCGTCCTCCGCCTTGCTCGTCCTGGCGCTCGCTCAGCCGACACGTGCGCGACCTGCCCTGCTCCGCCCGCCGGGGCCGCCAACTCCGCTCGGCGGGGGATTATCCCTCGTCCTGGCGCTCGCTGGGCGGGCGCTTGCCCTCCATCCTGCGGGCGTGCGCCCTTCGGCCCCGAAATCGGCTGGGGTGCGCGAGGGGCGGTTGGAGGAACAGCCATGGAAGGAGCTTCTGCTGCAGTGATCGCTGTGGCTTGCAGCAGTTGCAAGGTGGACCTGTGGGCTGCAAGTCCGCCTAGCCGCTCCAGGTCGGGTATGCGACCCACTCAGAATTGGGGCGGCCAGGCGGACTTGCGACCCACTTGCGGGCGCCCTGCGCGTGGGTCGCAACCGCCTTGCAGTTGTTGCAAGTGCTGCCAGTCGAACCGACCACTACAGTGGTCCCGCCTCCGTCTCGGCCCTCGGTTGTCGACGACGACGGCGACGACGACGGCGACGACGACGACGACGGCGACGGCGACGGCGACGACGACGGCGACGGCGACGGCGACGGCGACGGCGACGACGACGGCGACGGCGACGGCGACGGCGACGGCGACGGCGACGGCGACGACGACGACGACGACGACGACGACGACCACGGCTCCGCGGGGGCGGCGGTGGCCGCCCGCGGAGGCCCTGCCCCAGCTGGGCGCTGCGGCCGCGGCGAGGCGGGGGCCGCCGCCGCCGCCGCCCGCGCTGCCGACGGCGCCGGCGGCGCCACGCCGACGCCGACGACCGCGTCGCCGACGACGAAGACGGAGACGGTGGGAAGAGGGGCGGAAGGGGCGCGAGAAGGGAGGAGGGAGGAGTGGAGGAGTGGGGAGGGAGAGGCAGTAGGGGGGAGCAGGAGGAGGAGGAGGAGGAGGAGGAGGAGGAGGAGGAGGGAAAGAGGGAGAGGGAACGAGGGAGGGGGGAAGAGGGGGGGCATACGAGGGGCGAGAACGGAGGGAGGAGGAAGAAGAGGAGGGGGAGGACGGAGTGAGGAGAAGCAGGAGGACGACGACGAAGAGGTGGGCGGCAAGGGAAGAAGCCGAGGCGAGCAGGACGCTGGGAGGAGCAGCAGGAGTCAGGAGGGCGCCGCCCCCCCCCCCCCCCCCGCGAGGCAGCCACGGATGCCGCGGCCCGTGCAGATGTCGTGCGCCCCCGCCCGCCGGCGCTTCGGACGGCGGCGGCGGCGGCGACGGTCACCGCCACGGCCGCGGCGAGAGGGAGACACATCAACACGCAAGTCGGGCACATCCCTCTACAGGAGGAATTTTCAAAAATAGTGTTCAAATCGTCAGGGAACGATTTTTCAAGCATTTTCGGGCTATGTTTGAGCACTGTTGTCTATTTAAAATTTTCCGTCCAACATCCGCCTGTAGGAGCATGCCCAGCCTAAATCTGCACGGCCCGAGCGAAGGAGGGGGCCTCGTAGCCTGCCCCAGATGGCGAAGGGGAGCGGCAAGAGAGAGAGGGGGGGAGGAGCACCAGGACGAGGAGGAGGAGGATGAAGGAGGAGGAGGAGGATGGAGGAGGAGGAGGAGGAGGAGGAGGAGGGAGGAGGAGGGAGGAGGAGGAGGAGCAGGAGGAGGAGGAGGAATAGCTGACTTCGCGTTTTCGCCATTCTGTCTCTGTCTTCTGGGGGAGGGACGCTCGTAGGCCAAGGCCGAGGGCGGCTCGAGCGACAAGTTTCGGATGGGGTCGTTTTTGAGGAGGTTTTAGTCAACACCCTCGAGTTGAGAACACGTTGGGGTCGGAAGGCGCTCAAGGATCCTTCGTTTGTTCCTTCAGTTCTTCCATACATATTCGAACGCATCGACCTTGCAAGGGCCAGAGAGGTGATTCGGGGCTGGACATAAGCGCTGTTTTGCTGGACGTCGGCTGTGTCTTGTTTTTCGTTTTGGGAGGGAAGGTACAGGACAACAGGTAGAGCAATACGAAACACAAAACGAACAACAAAACGAAACACACAACGTTTAGGGCCAGCCCTGAGGTGATTCGCCCATTGCTCTAGCAGCGAGGCTCCGACTGCGCCCACCGAGGCCTCTCAGGCGTCACACACCAAACATCACGACAGGCTCCCTGTTGTGCGCAGCCCTGGCGCCCAGGGGCCTTTTTTCAGGCACGGGCGGCAGCAGGCAGCGATCCGCAACGAGAGCGCGAGGGGGGAGAGCACGGCAGGCTCGTGACAATGTCGACCCAACACGGCGACCCTGGCGCGGGCGTGGAAGAGATTGAAGGCCGCCGGGGTGCCGAATTATCGGCCGATGCCGGGCGAATCGCGCTATCGGAACGCCGCGATTCAAGCAGTGGCGAAGCGTCCTGGCGTGCCTGTAGGCCTACCAAACAATGTTCTAAAAACTCTCTGTGGTCTCCACGAAATGCTCTTAGAACAATTCTGGCTGGGACTGTCTTGTTTTAGCACATCGGGTTCGTGTTCTGAGAGCATTGCTTCTGTTCTTAGAACAGTTTAGGGTTCTAAGAAAAGTTCGTGGTAGGCCTATAGGAATGCCGGCCGGTCGGTCCCTGCTCAAATTGAACGATCCACATGTTGGCACGAACGAAATGGGTACGGAAAGAATGGGTACAATGCCGAACAGCAGTTTTTGTTCATTTTGAACAGGACTCGTTGCCGGTTTCGCCGCGGCCTGTGTCCACTTGAGACAGAAGGCCGCCTGCCCAACAGCGGCCGCTGTTGGTTTGGGACAACATTTGTTGTTGGGCATTGTACCCATTCTTTCCGTACCCATCGGGTGTCCAACAAATGGTGTCAGAAGCCAGCGCGCGAGTCGCCACGACCGAGCCTACCGCACAGGCAGGACGCCGAAACCTCGGGCCGAGGAGGGGCTCCGGCTGCCCATACGCGTTCTGCAGCTCGAGGCCGGGGGGCCCGCTCGTTGCCGAGGCTCGCCGTGGCCAGGCAGGCACTGTCGCTCCCTGTGCTGCGTTCCCCGGGGCAGCACGATTCGGGAGGGGAAAAAACACGCACAGACACAAGTCATCGTCGATTCCCAGGAGAATATAGGAAAATGTGGGAGGTGGGGGGGAGACAAAAACCCAGAAAACATAGGAAAATGTTGGGAATCCTGGCATTTGTGTGCGTATTTATTTGTGTGTCCCTGGAGCCCAGGTGCCCAGGCGCCGCGGCCCGCCCCCCGAGGGCAGCGCCATGCAGCCACCCTGCAGGGCGGAGGGCGTCGTCCGTGGGGAGGGGGGGGGGCGAGGGCTGGTGCGATGACCCCTCCCCCCGCGGGCCGGACGAAAGGGGGGGACTGGGAAAGGGGGGGGTACGAAATCTGCTGCATGCAGCTGGTTTTCGGCCCCACCGAGGGGCTCCTTCCTCGATACATAGTCGCCTCCAGCGCCAGGAGGCGCCAGGAAGATCAGCTACGTGAGCCAATTCTCAAATCCCCCCCTTTGCTATCCCCCCGTTTCGCCCAACCCGATCCCCCCTCCGGCCCATGGTATCTCAGCCCCACCTCGGTGGGGGAGAAGGGCGAGCAGCCCACATCCCACCTAGGGGCAATCTAATCGACCCGTGCGTTCGTCAAACTCGCGAAGCCCCGCCCCCAGCGGCTCTCGCCGAGGCGAGGTCGCCTGTTTTTGCGCCTGCTGCACGGCGCATACAGCTCACAGCATTTCCCACAGATGCTGCGTGGAGTCGCCTCTGGCGTATGTGGTGAGGCCTGCCGAGGTCAAACAAGTTCGTCAGTATCGTTTGTCAGATCCACATCCCCACCGGCCCATGGCATCTCGGCCCCACCGTCCCTCCCCCCTCGGTGGGGGATGAGGGCGACAAGCCCACATCCCACCTAGGGGTCAGCCACGCGCAGAGGGGGGTGGGGGGAAGGGGGAGGGCTTCTTAGAAGGAGGCTGCTTCTTAGAAGGCGCCGGCCTTACGTGTACAGATAAGGCCGGCGCCTTCTAAGAAGCAGCCTCCTTCTAAGAAGCCCACCCCCCTCCCTCCACCCCCTTGTGCGCGCCGACCCGTGGGGCCAAGGCCGTGCCGGTGGGGATGGGAATCGGTGAAACGACGCTCAGCTCGGGGCCGGCGGCGAGGGCGGGCTATAGGCAGCGGGCGCGGGGGGGAGGGGGGGCGAAATCTGTGGCATGCAGCGGGTCTTCGGGCCCCGCCGCCGGGCACGCTTGGCGACACATGGGCGCCGGGAGGCGCGGGGAAACCTGGCTCGACCACGCGCAGATGGGGGTGGGGGCAGGGGGGAGGGCTTCTTAGAAGCACCCCTGCTTCTTAGAAGGCGCGGGCCGTATCTATAGATGCAAGGCCGGCGCCTTCTAAGAAGCAGCCTCCTTCTAAGAAGCCCTCCCCCCTCCCTCCACCCCCTTGTGCGCACCACCAACTGGCTGCGTGCAGCTGTTCCACCTTGCGGGTATAGCCAGGACCCCAGGTAAGGGGACTAGGGCCCCGGAGCCATTGAATTGGCAAGAATCACTAACCAGGTTTGCCGCAGCTGGTGTATTTTCGGGTGACGGCAGTTCTGGTTTGTGGAGCGGGGCGGTTGGGGGCGTCCCCCAGTACACATCACTAAACCAAGTCCCACTAAACCCAGTTTTGCCAACGCCCGAACCTTGGCGTCCGCCCGGGAAGAGGAGGAATGGAGCAGGAAGGCTCGCCGCGCTGGATGTCTGTTGCTGGAAAGTGATGAATGCCCGTGTGGGTTTTGGTATTACCGTCGACGGTAATACCAAAACCCACACGCTGCAGTACGCTGTCTCCGTGGGCATGCTTAGGTCAGGAGGGGACAGACGCAGACACAGGTAATCGTCGACTCCCAAGAAAATAATGGAAAATGTGGAAGTGGCGAGGAATACGAAAACCCCGAAAATATAGGAAACGATGGGGGAATCCTGGGGCTCGTGTCCACTGATTCGTGTGTCCCTGGGCCCCTTTCCTAGGATCGATCTCGAGGCGCTTCCCGAGCAGGGTTCCACTGGCAGGAGCCAGGCCGGAGCGAGGGCGCAGCACGGCTGCGTCTCGCCCTCCATCGTGACGGTGACGAGCCATCTCCTCGTCTCGGTGGCCACGCGCGGACCCTACAGTTCAGGGGTGGACAGACCTCCTACGTACCCTGACACGTCGATCAAGGAATTGGCCGTTTTCGGTTCGCGAGAGGGCGTCGCGGCCGTCATGTTTGCGGGTCCAGGTCCGTCGGTTTCGGTCCCAGGCCCTTTTCACTAAGGGGAGGTCTACTGAAGGGAGGTTTGTCCACTGCCGAACAGTGGAGGCCCACGCCAAGAAACACCCTGCTTGCCTCCAGGGTGCCCAAGGTTTCTTGGGTTTCGATGGTCCTGCTATGGAAAGCGTGACATTCCCACACCAAAAATCACTGGACGTCCTGGGGTCCCAGGGTTGGGTTTCTTGTGGAAGGTTTCGTGTGGTCGAGCTCCTACTGTACCCCACCTCCCCCTTAGAAATCGTGGGTTGGCGGGGTAGGGTTCGCGTGTGGCCTCATGTCATCTGTTATGTTGTTCCGCCCTGCCTCACGAGGACGGCACTGACGATGAGACGAAGAGCCTCATATGCAGTGAAAAAGCATTGGATACAACAAGGCAAAGTTAACGTCGACGTGAACCAGATCGGGTGTTTTCTTTCAAGTGAAGATGTCAGATGCAGCGATGTGGATTGACTGCACCGACATGCACGTAATGCACCGACATGTATCTAATTAACTTGGAAGGTGCGACTCTCATCTTCAGACAGTTTGAAGCAGCGGGGGCATATCGGCAGTCGTGCAAAGGTGAGAAGCAACAATTCACTAACAATTCACACATGTGGTTGGTTCGGTCTTCTCGGGACTATCTTCGGGAGGCTCTGAGGCCACCTCAGAGCCCTCTCGGAGCCTGCAATTTGGGCCAACGTGCGCCGTTGTACACATCTCATTGGGCAAACTGGAGCAAAATATCAAGATAAAATACATCTGGGTCCATATTGGACGTCATCCACCACCAAGCCAAGCATCCAGAAGGACGCGTGGGCAGAAGAGCAAGCGATTGGCAACCCTTCAGGAATTACGAAGAGAGAGACGGAAACGGAAGGCCTTACGAGTGTGGAGCCGGAAAGTGGACCCCCCGATTGTGATTCAGAAGAGCAGAGGGGAGGAAGTGAGGAACAAAACGCGGCTCAAGTGCGGATCTCCGTCTGGATCCAGATTTGAAAGCATTGCTTTGAGAGAGCTGGCAACCCCAAGCAATTTGCGCTGGGAGGGCTCTTAGGAGTTCGGCGTCTGGCTCGATCAGGGGCCGCCGTCAGATGAGCGCAGAGTGTTTCTGGGGCATGTCCTCGCAAGCGATTTGTAGCCCCCAATCTCCGAGCTTCTCAGCAAACAAAGCTGGCTGCTCAGAAGAAGAACAAGAAGAAGAAGTCGGGGGTGCACATCAGAGGAGGAGAAGGTGCCCATACCGCTACCCTCTACCCGTTTTCCCATGTTTGGGCCTTTTGGGAGGCCCTCGTCGCTACCGCTGGATTCGCCTCGAAATTCTGGTCAGAACACACCCCAGGAAAGGCCCAGGGAGCAGCAGTATCGGTATTTGTTGGTTTGCCCAGTACACCGAGGGGCTTCTCAGACGCGCCCATACCGAGGACGGACGCCCCCCCCCCATCGTAAATCCCCGAGCTGGGCCGAGAATTGCTCTGCCCAGGGCATGCTCGGAGGTACTGGGGCGACTTCGAGGAGCGGAACGCTGGTGATGCCTGCAAGCCGAAGTGCAGGCGCCGCTGCCCCCCCCCCTGCGCTGCGCCAAAGCATCCGAAGGTAGGGCTCATCTCGATCCGTCGACCCGATTCGATCTCGATGTTGGCCGGCCCGCACGTCCGGCTCGATCTCGACCGTATGGATGGCTGGTTCGATCCGATTCGATCTCGATCTCAATCTAATTGCGAATCGATTGCAGGACAAGACATGGATATACGATTATATAAGGTGTATCGTTTGATTTGGTTCGCAGCTTGGCGCTGAGCTTTTCCATCATGACTGCAGCGAGGACAAGTCTGGTTTGGTCTGCCCGATCCGATTCGATCCCAATATTCCAACGGTCCGACATGCATTCCGATACCCTGATTACATGTTGTCTGGCCCTTCAAGGGCCTCTCACCCTGGAGCTGCACACAGGCCGTCCTTCGGACATTACATCTTCCAATATTGCCTTCATGATTCGGGACGGACGAGCCCTCCTCCCCTCCCCGTCCCCCTCCTCCTCCTCCTCCACCTCCTCCTCTTCCTCCTCCTCCCCCTCCTCCTCCTCCTCCTCCCCCTCCTCCTCCTCCTCCTCCTCCTCCTCCTCCTCCTCCTCCTCCTCCTCCTCCTCCTCCTCCTCCTCCTCCTCCTCCTCCTCCTCCTCCTCCTCCTCCTCCTCCTCCTCCTCGTCGCCCGTCGTCCGGCCCGACTCCCGAGGGCAATCTTGGGGGAACGGGGGGGACACCAAATCTGTTGCACGCAGCCGGCTTCTGCCCCGCCCACGGGCGTTCTCCTCGATGCACAGGCGCCTGAGGCGCGGGGAGGCGCTGGGAAAGCCAGCTACACGAGCTGGTTGTTGAATCCCCCCCGGTATTGGCCCCTCTTCGTCAGGAAGGATGGCCCAAGATTGACTCGGGCGTCGCTAGATGGAGGGGCTGTAGTTAAACGGGGGGCAGCGATGGCTGCAGAAAAGGAGCTCTTCAGGGCCCCTAGAGGGGCCCAGAAGGGCTCAAAGGGGGGCCTGTAGGGCTCGAAAAATGCACATGATTTTTCCCCCCTCCCCACTTATCACCCCTTCATGAAGCGACACCCAACCGATGGCCCCTAAGATGCTTCCCCACCCCTCCAAGCCCCAGAAAAGGAGCCCCTAGAGGGGCCCTAGAGGGCCCCGAAAGGGGGCCTGTGGGGCTCTACGAGGTGCACCTTTCTTCCCCTCCCCCCCCCGCACGCGCCGCTGTCCTGAAGGCCCCGGCCTGGAGGCCTCCTCCAGGCCCCCATGGCGCCTCTTCTTATTTCATTACGTCCCTGGCCTCCCCGCTGGGCCGCGCACATGCCGCCGGTCATGATTTACCCCCCCCCCTCTTGGACATTCCCTTCTTGGCCGCTCCCGACAGGAGGGGTCCGAGCAGACGGGGGCGGAGGATCGCGACCGCATCGCCGATGCATCGGCGATGCGGCGCGATGCGGAGCCCGATGTTCTCCGCGTTGGCGTCGCCGATGCATCGCCAGCGACGACGATGCATCGCCGATGAACGTCGATGCGGCGCGATCTTCCGACCACATCTACTCTTACCCCGTCTAGGAGGCCTCTACCTCCTGAGGAGGGGCGGATCCTTTTGAGAAGCCTCATGCTTCTGAGGTGTAACTCCTGGAGGTAATATTGTGCATCGGCGCTGGTATTTCCGCGGTCGGTAAGAGGCTTAATCAGGGCTAATCTGGCTCAATCCCGTTTAATCTCGTTTTTTTGATCCCTGGCTTAATTTGGTTTTGTCCGGCGAAGTGGCCCTCTAATCGGGTTGAGTCGCCCTCAATCGTTCCAGCGAAGGACTCCCAGAAAATGCCTCCTAACTGCTCGATGCAGAGCGAAGGTTCGGAAACATCACGAGGCGGCGGTTGAAACAGCAGTTTCTTTCGGCTCAGGCCAACGCTGTAAGGGACGATCAAAGAAACTCAACGGCGATGACGCCGCACGCGAGCGCGCGCGGCACCCAATTTGTTCATCATCGCCCTGAGCTGCTACGTGACGCCCTGGCGAGGTCAGAGGGCAGTTCCCGCTACTGCTGAGGAGAACGCATGTTTAGGAATTCCCGTGCACGCGTGTGAGACTGGCAAACGTGTCGCTCGTCGCAATATGACAGCTCATCATAGCGTAGCTTGCGAGTCTTTGTGCTGATACCGCCCCAACTGAACTGAACTGAACTGCTACGTGACGTACCCCCTGGCCATTTCTCAGTCGCCACCCTGCATCGCTCAGAAGGCCGCCCCCGTCGCACACGCCTGTTCCAGGGAGGCGCACGACCCGAGATTCTCGGGCCTGCTGCCGCTTTTTGTTACGGTCCCATCATGGACTTTGACGGTCCAGTTTCCGTGGGATGCGTCCAGCGCGAATTCGCGTCGAATGTCAGACAAAGTCATGTCGTTTTTTCCTGACGGCCCCGTCAGGCAAGTTCGAGTCCCCCTATACTCGAGTCTTACGACTCCCCGACGCTTGTGCGCACCGCCAGACTTGGCCGGATGGCCGCTTGGATGACTGTTCGGTTGGCACGTTCGCAGTTTCGATTGTTGGCGGTCTTGTCGGTTGACAGGTCGCCAGCCGCAGATGTCGAGCTGGTCTGTCCGCACTTGCCAAGAGTGCGAGCAAAACGAGCGGATCAGGAACGTGCCGGGAGGGCGCCTCCCAAGCCCGAGCGGCGCGGCAGATGGCATGCCTCGTTGCTCGCCTGTCATGCCGTACGCGGGGAACTTCCTCCTCCTCGTCCTCCTCCCCCTCCTCCTCCTCCTCCTCCTCCTCCTCCTCCTCCTCCTCCTCCTCCTCCATCCTCCTCCTCCTTCCTCGTCCTGGTGCTCCTCCCCACCCTCTCTCTTGCTGCTCCCCTTCGCCATCTGGGGCAGGCTACAAGGCCCCCTCCTTCGCTCGGACCGTGTAGATTTAGGCTGGGCATGCTCCTACAGGCGGATTTTGGACGGCTAATTAAAGATAGACAACAATGCTCAAACATAGCCCCAAAATGCTTGCTCCTTGCCCCCCTCGGGCGTCTCGTGCTCCCGCTCCAGCGGGCACCCGCCCCCGGGGCGCCGATGAGGCAGGACCCTTCGGCCCTCACGCGGCGTGGGCGGGTGGCATCCTGCGTCGGAATTGCGAGGCTTGTGAGTGCACGGCCTGCAGATCGGGTACCCCCTTTGGAGCTGACGCGGCCAGGGGAGGGGGAAGGAGCTTCTTCGCTGGCCGGCCCCAGGGAGGAGAAGGGCCGAAGAGAGAGAGAGGATGTCGGCCACGCGCAGAGGGGGGGCAGGGTGAGGGGAGACGGCTTCTTAGGAAAACACGCCTGCTTCTTGGAAGGAGCGGGCCGTGTCTAGAGATGTAGGGCCGGCGCCTTCTAAGAAGCAGCCTCCTTCTAAGATTATAAGAAGTGTTCCCCCCTCCCCCATACCCCCCTGCCCCCTGAGCCATCCACCCCTCTTCGTCTCCCCATCAAGAGGACCACTAAGAAGAAGAAGAAGAAGAAGAAGAGGACGACGACGTCGACGACGAAGACGACGGCGACAGCGTGCTCGAGGATGTCGTCGGCACCAGCGACGTCGACGCCGACAGCGACGCCGTCCTGGTCGGAGTGGATGGAACGAGGGAGAGGAGAGGGAGCGGAGAGGAGAGGAGGGAGGAGGAGAAGAAGAAGAAAAAGAAGACGCCGACGTGGACGTCGACGTCCTCGTCGTCGTAGGGGCGGTCGCGGCGCGGCGCCGCGCGGAGGTGGTCCTGCGAGGCACCGGAGTGTTCCGAGGTGCCGCGCCATTCGTCGTCGCCCGTCGACGACCGCCGTCGCCACGCCGCTAGTCGCCGCGCCGCTCGTCGTCGGTCGCTGCCGTCGTCGCCGCCGCTGACGTCGTCGCCGCGAGGGGGGAGGAGTGGAGGAGGAGGAGGAGGAGGAGGAGGAGGAGGAGGAGGACCAGAAGGAGGAGGACCAGCAGGAGGAGGAGGAGTGAAAGCAGGAAAGCGAGTAGGGACGAGGAGACGAGACGGGACCGTCGCCGCCGCCGTAATCTTCGCCGCCGTCGCCGTCGTCGCCGCCACAACGGCATCGTCGCCGTCAGCGTGGTCGCCGCGGCCGCCGCCGCCATCGCCGCGGCGGCGTCGGCGGCGTCGGTGGCGTTCTCGATTCTCCTTTGGGGTCATGCGTCGGGGACCGGCTTTGACGTTGAGGGCCCTTTCTGAATTTGTTTGTGAGTCTCGTCGTTTTTTTGTGAGTGTTTTGCGAATGCGATCGCTTCCCCAGCGGGTGCCGAATGAGATGGATGCATTGGAGGGTGAAGGAGTTTATGGAGTTCGGAGGGACGTTGGGAAGTGTTCTTCTCTTCTCGCCCCCTTCTCATTCCCTCCCTCATCCTCCTTCGACTCGTAATCCTTCGCCCCTCGCTCCCATCGTCATCATCATCATCAGCATCAGCATCAGCATCATCATCATCATCATCATCATCATCATCATCATCATCATCATCATCATCTTCATCTTCATCTTCATCTTCATCATCATCATCATCATCATCATCATCATCATCATTATCATTATCATTATCATCAGCATCATCATCACCATTATCGCCACCATCACCATCACCGTTACCATTACCATTACCATTACCATTACCATTACCATTACCATTACCATTACCATTACCATTGCCATTGCCATTGCCATTGCCATTACCATTACCATCATTATCATCATCATCATTTGCATCATCATCATCAAAGCCGCACAAGCCCTTACCAGGAGGGGCACGGCTCCGAGTACACGGATGAGCGCCCTTCGCTCGCGCCCGCCATGAGCCGCCGTTGGAGCCGTGGGGCAGCGCGCCGATGAACCGAGCGTTGGGGCTGCTGCGCGCCTTCCCCGTGCTGGCTCACAACTTCGGCAACCTCTAGCCGTCACGCCTCCAGGAGTGAAGCTTGGCGTATCGCAGCGTGGAGGTCGGAGGCATGACGGGGACATGCCGACGACGACCCCAGGCACTGGCGAGTGGAGACCCACGCACAGCTCACACTCAAGGGCAGACGCCGTACCACAGCATCTTTCACTATCCGTGGCAACCTGCGGCGTTGCAGCATCATTTTGTGCGAGCTGCTGCGTACCCCATCCATCACGTTGATCACAATGCCGTTGTTCATCGTCGCCGGCAGAGGTGGCATGATCGACACCGGCCAAGGACCATGTCGTCTGCGCGCGATTGCTCTGTATTTCTAGCCGCGGCCCCGCACAGCGAAGGCCCGACCGAGCCGGCACAAAGGATGTACAGTGGTGTTGCAATGGCTGGACATTCATCTCAGGGGTGCTCTTTTCGCAGAGTCCAATTGGAACTGACGGACGCGAACACGGGCTTGAGGCTCCGCGGCCAGGATATTCACCAAGGCATATGCGTAGAACCTTTTCGGACACGGACACGAAAGCGAGAATGGCACGATATTGCACGACTTCATGCTGGACCACGACATGAGCGCGACCAACACGCACAGGAAGGTGGGCCCCACGCTCATCGGACGCAGCGGCGCCAACTCTATCGGTTCCATCGTCACATTATTTGGCTGAAAAGATTGCATCGATTTCATCGATGTCGCCCATGGCGGACACTACTTGCAGTTACTTGCAGGAGATGGCGCACGACAGCGAAACGCACAATGACATATCACGTATGCATTGGATCATATCCCGACCGTGGCCCGTTTAGTTTGCCTTGCCTTGGACACGGCCACGCCAATCGCAGTTCTTGTAGGTGACACAAAAATATAGACTGCCTGCAACAAGGATCTGGACGCGAGCCCCTCCTACGTGACCTTCGTGGCTCACCCGAGCAGTACCAGACCCAGTTTCAGGAGGCGCGCACCGACCTGAACCCAGACAGACAGGCGCACCTCTTCGTCGCCGCGAGCAGGCAAGTTGATGGTTCAGCGGCCAGCGAGCGGCCAGCGGGCGACGAAGCTGAGATTCGACCTGTTTAAGGAACCGGCCATCTCTAAGCGCTTGGTTTTTCACGCTTACGCTCCAGACGCAGCCCGCGACGAGTTCGAAGCGCTCGCTCGCGCACTGCATGCACATTTCAAACGTGTACAAGCGCAGTCAGACCGTGCTTTCCAACTGCAGATTCGTGAAACAAGGTCTCAGCGACGATTGGCAGATGCGCCTGCAGCTGCGAGCCGACGAGCACATGGGGGCATTGGCGCGCACAAACGAGATTATCGATCACTACCATCACGCCAACCACGCGCTGAGTGGACATAGTTTCTCTCGCAACCTGGTTGCGATGGTGGGCTCTCGGCCAATGCACCACCGGGCGATCATACTTTACCCAGGCCTGCAATGGCCCATCGTCCGAATGAACGTATTCTTCTTCCGCTTCGCCCTGCAGGCCAATCGCACCCTTGGCCGTCAGGGCATATTCGCGGGGCAGGGCGATTTCTTTGGGACGCGCACGCATTTGTGGAACATGACACGGTATAGGTTTGCACCATGCTGGAGCAGACCGACGGACGCATCTCTCACCGCGGCGAATCCATGCGTCTGCAACGAGCCAGGAGCGCAATAGCTGGACTGGTCGGGCGGGTTCTCAAAATATAGAGACCCGGCCAGGTCTCTTCATTTTGAGAACCCGCCCGACCCGACGAGGACATAGCTGCCCCTCGACGAGTGCGCGCAGGCATCGGAGATTTAACGGACAGCCACGCACGCGCGCGGGCGTCGCACCGCGCCCCGAGCCAGGCGAACGTAGGCCAGACCTCGGCTTCTGCAATGCCTCTGCCCTGGGTGGCGCATCATCTCACGGCGCGCCGCGAGCTTCGACGGCGGGCAATGCGTCGCACCCGCGCGGGTCCACGGCGGCCGCGGTAAACGGCGACGCGAAGCCACGATGCGCATCGAGGCACGCGGCGCGTCGAGCGAGAGCTCGTTGATTGACGAGGTTGCTGAATCTCGCGGCCTACGAGCTGCTTCTGCAGAGTGGGAGGCTCCGCGACCCGGCGTCAGTCGTCGGTGACAGAGCGCTGTAGAATGCGTTGGCCACGCCGACCACGAAGGGATGACAGAGCGAACCCCGAGCAGCATGAACTCCCACCTCGCGGCGCCGCCCCATAGCGACTACGAGGACAAGCCCACCTTCACAATGAGCAATATTTGACGGTTGGCAGCGGTGGCCCATGGGCGACAGCAGCGAACGATATTTCTTCCATGGGCACTTCTTACGACAGCAGATATGAGCACATCGACACTGCCAGTGGTTACGCTTTGTCGCAGCCTGGTCAATTTCACGGCGCTGACACCGTCGGCGCGGACTTATTCAACGACGGCCCCCTGAAGCCACCCCCCCGCCCGAGGCCGCCCCCGAGGAGGACCGAGACGCCAGCAACCCAGGCGCCGCGCGGTTGGGCGAGAGTGGCGAGGCACGCAAGTGCAAGCATAATCTCGCGAAGGCCGAAATCCCCATCGCTGAGTCTCGTCGCGGAACCGCGCGCGCGCCGGCGCGGGGCCCTCTCCCCATTGGAAAATCGATGCCTGAATCAAAGCACCTCGGCGGCATGCTCTCATGGCATCTCGCGGCGAAGCCGCCGAACGGAAAGAAGGACTTCTAGCGGCCCATCGCCTAGCTGGAAAGCCAAGCGTCAATCATTCGGCGGGCGCGCCCGCGGCGCCGCCGCGCCAGGCGGGGGAAGCTCGCTGCAGCGAGGTGGACACCCAGGCTTTCGACCCCATTTTCACCGGCAAATTTCGGCCCATGTCACATGAACGGGCGTGCGCTGAGATTCGCGGCATCCGCGGACCTCGGCCCACCTTGAACGCGCGGCGAAATCGGGAATTACCACGCGTCGCTCTGGAGTTCGCAGTTCGCAGACTGTTCCGGCGGCGGGCCGCGCTCGCAGACGCGCCGCAGCACGCGCACTTTCTGGCGAGCTTCTCTGGCAATTTGGCGGCGGAAGGCGCGGCCGGCTTGAGCGCGCCGATCTCGGACGAGACCGACGCCGCCAACGCGAACGCGCCGACCGCCCCTTGGGCGACGCAGCTGGCCTCAGACATCGAGGCGCTCTCATCGGCCGACCTGTCCACGGAGCTACGTGACGCGCGGCAACCTCGCAGCATCGGGCGCATTCTGGAGGACGGGGGACAGACGCGCCAACGGCCGCCGACGCCCGCGCGGCGCGCACCGGGGCGGGGGGCCCGATGCCGCGAGAGGGAGAAGTCACTGGAGTTACTGGCGCCAAGCTTCACGCGTGCGAGAGCGAGCTGAATGACGCATCAGAACGTGGTCGGACCTCCCCAACACAGTCCGCGTCGCGTGCTCATTAGGCGCACAGCAAGGAGCCACGTTATCAGATGCGTCGTGCTCTCAGTCTGCTCATTCCTGCCACCAATGCCTGATGTGCCCGGCCGTCTGTCGGAGCCGCAACCACTGCTCGCGCCGCTCTGTGCGCCGGCGGTCAGCGCGCCGCTGCGCGCGCCAGACCGCGGCCCAGCTGCGGCAACAAAGCCTCCCAATTACCTCGAGTGCCCGATCGGCAGGGAGCGCCCATCCACGGCCCCCCGCATGCCCCCCGCACGCGAAGAGGACGTTCAAGGCGAATGCGAACAAGACGTAGCGATCACGAACGGCAGCGCGGCATCAGCTGGAACATCAGCAGCGAACCCATCAGCAGCAGCAATTACGAGGATACCATCACTACTTTCGCCGTCTCAGCTACCAACTACAGCGAGCCCAGCAGCCCCCCCCCCCCCCCCCCCCGACGACAGCAGCAAGCCGTCGCGCCGAGCGAGCAGCAGCGCTTGCTAAATTGGCCCCCTGCCACGCCCGTCGCCGAAGCAAAACGGCCCCAGCTCCGAGCATCAGAAAAGCGGGGCCGAGCCCGTGACCATCGCCACCGTCGGCTCCAACCACGTTTGGCCATGTTGGGGTTCTTCGCGCCCAGTTACGCACGTGCGCACCTTGTATTTGTTTTCTCCGCCGTGCATAGTTCGAGATCTCGGACAGGTATGAGCCCGACCTAGGCCGGACAACCGAACGCTTCGACGCGCCCATCAGCCGCGAGACCACCTCCAAGGCCGAGGGCCGCGTTTTTCATCGGCGGCGGCATCTACAAATGAGGGCACATCGGCGCCCGCGGGCCCCATCGCCAGCGTCTGCGAACGGCGCGGCACTTGCGCAGCCAGGCAAATGGAGCGTTTCTGCGGGAGCGGCGGGGACAGAGCCGCGGACGACGAGACGGGGCGGCAAACGCCGCAAAAAGGGCGATCAGATGGCGCCGAAGGGCTTGCCGGTCAAGGGCCAAGGACCGCGCGATTTCCTCGACGCTTAATCTGAAGCAAACGCTGAGCATCCAAACGCCGAGCACCCCCCGCTGAAGGACCACACGCTGGCGCAGGTGATGCAAGATGGCCAGGTGGCCTTCGCGCAACGAGTGGACAGCTACCGCTAGGCGACGGCCGACAACCCCGTGCTAGGAGCCGCTCGGGCCGCTTCGCGCCGCGCCGTTCGCGGCCCCGGTCGAGACAGCAGCCGCCGCGGAGGTCTGCGGCGGAGACGACCAGGAGAATATCCTCAAGCTCCCCGGGGACATCAGCGCGAGCGAGAAGGCCGAGGACGTCGAGCAGCTCGCGCGCGCGCTCCGCCTCCAGAGGACGGCGCAGGAGGACCAGATGAAGATCGGTTGGCCTTGCAGGTGTTGGGCGACTGGAGACGCGCGTGCTCGACGAGCTGCGCCAAGCAGGAGGGCGACACCTTCGAGGCTCGGCACCAGTGGCTACATTGAGGAGGAATTGCAGGAGCGTGCGGAGTGGCTCGGTATGCAGCCATGTTTTGCGACCACTGGAGACGGATCGGAACCATTATCCACGCTTTTCGTTGCCCCGCCTGCACAGTGCTGGAGATTCGACGCGAGTGACGGACTTTTGTTGCGATGGGCCCTAAACAGTTTGTGTTTCTCCTCCGTCGCCCCGCGTGGGCAGCCCCGCTTTCCTCCGTCCGCCCGCCTCCGCGCTTGTCCTCCGCTGTTTAGCATCCCCATGGTTGTCAGGGTCTGCGGCGGCGCGACCCGCAGATCGCAACTGTACGCGGCGACGTCCATTCGCCGCTGCACTGAGTGCGTAGTCCTCTGCGTAGCACTGAATGCGCGGTGCCCCGCTCAGCAGAGCGCCCCCGTGCTGACCTTGCGGCACATGTCCCCATGTGCCCCGATTGTATTGGAAAATCAGCACCATCTGCACCAACAACGACACCCTTCATCATCCATCACTAGCAGCATCCTCACCATTGCTTCGACACCCTCATCATCAACATCCGCCCATTCGGTTCCGATTCGTGATCGTTTACACGACGGCGTTTTGAACCAGTGAGGTTTTTCGCGGATGGTTGGAGCACATCCTCGACCGGGCGGTTGCAGCCATGCAGACTATAGACGATCGCCATGGTGAGTTGGCAAACATTTGAGCAGCAAGTTTGGCTCGTTATTGAAAAAAAGGACACATATGGCGCCAATGTGCGGCCGGACGTGTTCGCCAGCAACGTCCGCAGGCTTGCGGATGCAAGAATCCTCGTGCTTATTGACCCCAGCTGTCCCAGCAGCTTCCATCCCGTTTAGTTGTTTCATTTCCGACTTGGGGAAGTGGCGATGACATCCCGCTCCTGATACTGCTACTGGTTCGGCGTCAGATCGTCTCACGCGCCCGCCTCCTCCGCATCCTTCTTGGCACTGCTGCTGGCCAGTGTCAAACCCAACGTATCAATCGTCATGATTTCCCTCGTTCCCCGCCCTTCGTTCACCCTCCCAAGTTCCCCATCGTTCTTTGCATCATCACCCCCTTACCTTCGCCTTCACGTGATGTTTTCCCTTGTCACCCCCTTTCAGGAGCAGGAGTGAGCGCAAGACGAAGGGAGGGGAACAGGAGGAGGAGGAGGAGGGAGACGAGAAGACGCAGGATAGGAAGGAGGGGGGTTATGAGACTTTTGAAGGTGCAGGAGGAGGGGGGAACGTGAAAGGAGCGAGCTCCACCCAAAAAACCGAGGCGATTCCAACCGCATTGGCGACGCGGGCACCCCAGGAGGCCCAACAACAGGAGGATGAGCAGCAGCAGCAGCAATACGAGGAGGGGGAAAGAGGAGGGAGGACCCCAGCTCGGAAGCCGACGCGGGTTCCGACCGCCCGTCCCCAGCCGCCTCCGAGACGGATTCCCAGAGACGGGTATACCCTGGCGGCGCGCAGGGATGGCGGAAGGCAGGCGCCGCTCCCCCGCGGGGACAGCGCCGAAAAGCGGCAGGGCAGCGCCGCTCGTCCTGCCTCGGGGAAGGCCCCCCCATCCACCGACCGAGCGCGGCCAAGACGCGGAAGTGGGACCGCTCTGGGACGCTCTTTCGGTCTGGGCTGGGGAGCCTGCCTTGTGGCCGCGGCTCGCCGCGGCCAGGAAGCCTCTCCGTTCCTGGCTCGGCGTTCCTTACGGCGCGGCGGGGGCGTTCCTTCAAAGATGTGCCCAGGAGGCTGCAGGCCCTGGAGGGTTCCTTGTCTGACGAGGTTGGCGGTGATGCCCATGGCCGATCCACGATTGGAGTTCCGCCCGCTTCCACGCCTTGGGCTCCTCATGCAAGGTCTCCTTGTCGAAGGCCCCCGCGGTGGGGCGCGATGACTGCTCCGAGCACCCGTCCGGGTGCCGCCGCCCCCTCCCCTCCGCCGAGAGGTGTGCAACATCACCTGCGCCCCGGCGCTGTGTGCCACCGCCTGCCCCCCCGTCGACCAGCGCTCGTGCAAGACGGCGCGCCGCGACCGCGACCGCTGCCGCCGTTGCCGACATTGCTGTCGTGGTCGTCGCCGACGTCGCCGACGTCGTCGTCGTCGTCGTGGTGGCCGTGGTCGTCACGTCGTTTGACGTCGCCGTGGTCGTCGCCGTCGTCGTCATCGTTGCCGTCGCCAGGAAGACCGAGGGAAGGTGCCTGGTCATCGCGGCCGGATTACCCCGAGATTATGGGTTTCTGGGCCCCCCCGGTGTAAAATTGCATGCCGCCCGCGTTGTCGAGGACGTTGTCGTTGTCTTGGTTACCGCCGTCGTGGTCGTTGTCGTCGTCGTTGTGGTCGTCGTCGTCCTGGTTACCGTTGAGGTCATTGTCGTCGTCATCAGCGTCGTATTCGCCAAGATCGTCGTCGTCTTCGTCGTGAACGCCGTCGCGACGCAGCCGCTAATCGGCACGAAGAGCAGAGTTCCTGAAGGTGTTCGCCGCTTTCGACATGGCCTCGCCACAAAAACGTGTCGGCTGGGATGGGAGATTGGCCCCAGGCGAAGCCAAGTAGTTCAGGACCTGTTTCCTTCAGGATACATCTCCCTCATGTTAGGTCACCGCAGCATTCGTGGCCGTGGTCGTCGTCGTTGTGGTCGTTTTCGTCTTCGCCGTCATCGTCTTCGTCGTCTCAACATTCGTTGTCGTCGCGGTGCCGAAATCCTCGTTCATCATCATGCTCACCTTCCTCCCCCTCCTCCGTCCGCGCCCCCTGTCATCTCCCCCTCTTCGTCGCCGTGCTCCTCCACCCCCCCCTCCGCCTCCCCACGGGCAACTCATGTTCACGAGCCTGCTCACTGGCGCCGACCGTTCCTGCCGTGGACGAGCTGCACGCGCGCCCGCATCTCGACCAGCCCAGCCCGATCATGCGGCCGTGCCGCCGCGAGTCCGTGCCGTGCTGTCCGAGGACGCCGCCGACGCTGGTCCTTTCGGCCCGCGGGCGAGCGGATAGTGTGCCAGGTTGCCAGGGCGCCGTCGGTGAAGGGTCACGGGGCTTCTTGTTCTTGCTGCTGCCTTGGGCAGGGTCACCTCTGTGTTGCGATCGGTGCGGTTGGTCTTCGCTGGGAAGTCGTGTCAGTCTCCGATCTCCCCTGAGATCCGAGCGTCGCATTTTCGCTCGGGCCGCTCCACCTCCTCCCCATCATCCGCATCCTCGTCCTGCTCCGCCGACTCCTCCAAGACGGGGCCCCAGGGTCCTCGCGCATCGACCCGGCCCGAGAAATGCCGCGGACAGTTGAGGTCCAGGGCTTAGGGCTCTGGCTGTGAACTTTATTCAATCGCTTCGCTCATTCCGCCGGCCCATGTTGCATGATCGCTACTACTCCGCCGTGGGCCCGGGGCCATTTTTGCGCCGCCGAGGAGGGGGAAGATGAGGATGGGGAAGGGGAGGGGAGGAGGAGGAGATGATGAGAAGGAGAGGAGGAGGAGGAGGATGAAGATAAGTAGGAGGAGGAGGAGGAGGAAGAGGAAGGGGCGGAGGAGGAAGCCTCTCGTTGGCATCTTGTGTTGCTCTTGGGGCCAAACAGGGTCGTCGTCAAGATGCTTCTTTGGGAGGCCTCTTGGGGTCTTTTGAGAAGCCGTTCGGGGGCGCCTGGGAGGCATTAGTGAAGCCTTCTTGGGCCTCTTGGGGCCTCTTTTGGGCTTCCTGGGGGCCTCTTGGCGGCATCTTGGGGCCTCTTGGAGGCCTTTCGTGGCCTCCTGGGGCCCTCTTGGGGCGGAAGGCTAGAGTTTTCCGTTCGTGGTCCCCCTTTTGGGCCCCTCTTGGGGCCGTCTTGGGCGCCTCTTGGGCCGTCTCGGGGACCTCTTGGGTCCTCTTGGGGTCCTCTTGGAAGCCTCTTGACCCATCTTGGGGTGTTCTTGGGGGCCTCTTGGGCCGTCTTGGAGCATCGGATGGCCGAAAAGGCCACAAGGCCAAAATCCTTCCAAAACCATCGTGAAATTTATGATTTGGGCCTTTCGGAGCCCTCTTGTGAGGCCTCTTGGGGGCCACTTGGAGGCCTCTTGGGCCGTCTTGGGGTCATCATCGGCGTCTCGGAGCGCCCTTTGGGCGTCTCGGGGGCCTCTTGGGCAGTCTTGGGGGCCTCCTGGTGCCCTCTTGGCGCGCCCTGGGGGGCCTGAGAAGCCACACCCAGGAGGAAAACCATCTCTGAGTAGACCTGCTCGGGCTGCGGTCGGGGTACTTTTCGCAAGGGGACCCCCAAGGGCCGCCCCGCGCGCGCGAACTAGAAATATTGTTAACCAGTCACCGGAGATCTTAGCACGCCTCTGGCCCGTTGGGCCGGCGAATTGTTGCATCTTTTCCGCGCCGTCGGATCTCAGGGTCCTCTGGATGCAGTGTCCTGGGGAGCCCCTCGGGTGTGTGATTTGGCGGCCCTCGAGGCCGCGTTGGAGCGGCGCCCGAAGGGAGATCAAGAATGGTATACTCTGCATGGGTCCCGCCCGTGCTGGCATCTCATATCTTCCCCCCAGTTGCGGTCCTCTGCGCTTCGGCCGTCCACTCGCTGTTGGACCAGCCACGATGGCATTGCAGGTGTCGCCATAGGTGTTGCGCGCCTCCCCCGCCTTCTGTTCTTTCCTCACCCCCCCGTTTCCCCCAGCCAGACCTCCGACGTGGCGATATGTTATCCTGCGCCGTTTGTCGACGACTCCAGAGCTCGGCAAGGGCCCCCCAGAGGCCGAAAATTGCTCAAAACTCGGGCGCTGCGTAAGGAAGTGGCGACAAATGGCGGGGTGCCAAAAAGGGGGCTCGAGAGGAGTATTGATCTTGGCCCCTCATTCGTCCCCCCAGTGCAGCAGCGCCCAAAAAGCGGTGGGTCGCTTTTGCTCCATGCCGCGAGGAGGTCGGGGCTCCGTACTCCCTCTCCTCATGGCCACCCTCCTCGGGCTTGCGGCGGAGCCGTGCGCTTCGCCCGCGAGGCGGCGACTCCAGCGCGGGCGTTCCAGGCTGAGCGCCGTCGGTGGCCGAGAGTCCGCCGACGTCGAACGATCTGCACTATTCTGGAGGCAGGAAAGGGGTTTCGTGTGAAGGGGGGACGCTGGCGATGTTATCCATCGCAGATAGCATCGCCATTTCAACGATTGGCACCATACCCCTTTATGCCGCACCCCTTTTCCGACCTCCAAAATTATCGGAAAGCCGCGATCTCTCCGCGGGGGGCGCGAAGAGTATCAGTCGCGATTCGCGCGTCGTGATGAGGGCCAGAGCGACTGCCCTTCTCAAGAGAGGCGAGAGCGCAGAGATGATCGCGGGGCGCGATGCGCGATGCGAGAAGTCAGGCGGCCTGAGCGCCGGAGTCGTCACGACATGGACCTGCCACGCCCTCTCTCCCCTTCTCCCGAGTCCAGGTGTGCCCGCCGCCGAACTGCAAGACCTTCTGCTCGGGAGGGGCGCGGGCGCGAAGGCGTGCCGGGGTAGTTCGAGACGGAGGTCAACGCAAGCGGGGGTCAGCCAGAGCGCCAGATGTTGCAGGTTCTTGCGAAGCCAGGGTTCCACTGACCCGGGCTTGCGCGCAGGATCCTGCCTGATCTTGCAAGGCCCGATTGACCCGGGTTTGCATTGACCTGGGTCAGCAGAGGCCCGAGAGGGTTGCAGGTCGAGTTCTCGAGTGTCGGCGCTGCTGACGCGAAATGGGCAAGGAGGTAACATTCAGAGCATCGGGCGCAGGCCCCAGCGAATTGGGTAAGTGGACGAGATGTGTTTCCTATGCGTCATCCGTCATCCGTGTCCCCATCGTTCCTCCTTCCCTCCCCTCTTCCTGCTTGCTCAGTTGCCCTGCTCACGAGAGCCGCGTCCACAGGGGACCGTAGGGGTGCCCTGTGAGGGAGGAGGGCGAAGGAGGAGGAGGAGGAGGAGGAGGAGGAGGAGAGGAGGAGAGGAGGAGGAGGAGGAGGAGGAGGAGGAGGAGGAGGAGGAGGAAGACGAGGGAGAGCAGGAGGTCGGAGTGAAGCAGGAGGACGAGAAGACGCTTGAGGAGGATAATGGAGGAGGACGAGAACGAACAGGAAGACGAGGAGGGAGGAGGAGGGAGAAGGATGATGACGGAGTAGGGACAGCAGCAGCGGGAGATGGAAAGAGGACGAGGAGGGAAGAAGGAGGGGAAAGAGCGGGGGGACGAGGATGCACGGTCTGGGGACTGAGCGGCATCTGGAAGAAAACGTGGACGATGGGGACGACGGAGATGCGCAAGAAGTTAGGAGGGGTGAGAGAAGTGGGGGAGGAGGTGAAGAAGGGAGGAGCAGGAGAAAGATATTATCTAGTATCATCAGGAATGGGGGATTGCATAGGCTGGAGACTCAAAACGTCGCACACCCGTCAGGACTCCTGGCATTTGAATGATTGCCAGCGTTGACCCTAAACAGTGAGCTGTGAACTCTAGATATGCAAGCTACATGTGTGATGTGTGATGGAACCTGCGTGATGGGCACTTGGCGATGAAATATGTGGTGGGGACCGTCCAATAAATGTGGTGCAGGCGATCTGGAGGAGCTATGTGATGCAAGTTTTGGAGGTGCGAGCTATATGCTGAAAGCTATATGGTGAAAGCTAAGTGGAGGAAGCTGTGTGGTACAAGCCACGTGGTGCAGATGTCGCACGATGCGCCCACGAGGCGGCCACGGGCGCCACCAGGCGAATACCCGGACATCGCAGCCAACACGCGGTGACCACGGACGCCCGCCAGGCGAGACACCAGAGCTCCCAGCCAATGCCTCATTGCGCAAGCAAGAACCCCTCAACCCTGAGTGCAAGCACAGTTTGGGAAGTCATTTCAATTGCGTTTCTTCCATTCCTGCTCGAACGTACTCATCACCATCACCATCATCACCATCATCTCTCATCAACTCATCCCTCCTCCTCCTCCGCATCGGATCGATCCTATGAAGAGTGGCGAGGGAGGAGAAGCGGGGCGGGAGCCTCTCGGGGGGTAGCATCTCTGATGGCATCCCTTCCCGTCCTCCTCCTTCCTTCTCTTGCTCCTTCCGCCTCCTCCTCCTCCTCCTCCTCCTCCTCCTCCTCCTCCTCCACCTCCACCTCCTCCTCCTACAATTACGTACGCACCGAGGAAGAGAAGGAGGAGGAGAAGGAGGAGGAAAGTGGGAGGAAGGATGGAGGTCGAGGCGAGACGAGCAGGAGGAGGCATGGCAGAGAAGAACGGGTCAACGATGAGTCCGGGAAGGACGCCCAGGCCAAGGGGCTCCGCCAGATTTTGCGGCGCGGAGCGAGGCCCACCGTGGGCCGGCCCCCGTCTGCTAGAGGAGGAGGAAGAGGAGGGAGGAAGGAAGGAAGAAAGGAGGGAGGAAGCGGAGGAAGGAAGAAGGAGGAAGGAAGGAAGAGGAGGAAGGAAGAGGAGGAAGAGGAGGAGGAAGAGGAGGAAGGATGAGGAGGAGGAAGGAAGAAAGGAGGAAGGAAGAGGAGGAAGGAAGGAAGGGAAGAAAGGAAAGAAGGAAGGAAGGATGAGGAGGAGGAAGGAAGAAAGGAAGGATAGAACGGAAGGAGGAAAGTAAGGGTGAAGGGAAGGAGGAGAAGGGGGGCTTGACGAGACGGCACGGAGAGTGGGCAGCACGCGGCGGGCGGACGTTTTGGGGGGAGGGGGGGGGGCGCGTTGGGAGCCGGGGCGGGGCAGCAGGCAACTGCGTCGCCCTGGAGCGGCGGACGTCCCCGTGCGCGGAGGCGGACTGCCGCACGGAGCCCGGGGTGGTCTCTCTTGTCGTTTCCGTTCTCGTCCCTTTGCGGCCTGCTTCCACAGGGCAGCGGTCGACTGTGAGGACCTTTGAAGAGGGAACTTGGAGGGAGAGTTGTTTGCAACATCGTTGATTAGTCTTGGGTTTGCACTGAGCCTCCTCCTCCTCCCCCTCCGCCTGCCCTGGACCTCCTGGCGGCGCGCCCTCGGCGCGTTTCACGCGCCGGGGAAGGGGCGGGGCGCCCAGAGCCCAGTGGTGTTTTTGTTGGTTGCCCGCGGTCCTTGTTGGTCTTTTGGGGAAGATCGACCCTGACATCTTGACATCAGTTTTCCGAACAACAAGAACAATACTAATAATAGTAATAATATTAATATTACTGCTACGAATAAGAAGAATCATAACAACAACAACAACAACAACAACAACAACAACAACAATCACTTTACCCGAACGCTCAGTGTTCTCACCAGTGCCAGGGTTTTCATGCGACGCCAGCCAATACCCCCACTTTGTGGGGGGGCAGTGCAAGCTCTACCAAATATCCACACGACTCTTCGCCACCACCCACACCCAGCTTCCCGCCCTATGACGTTCGGACACTTCACTTCGTGGCCTGCGGACGACCGTGGCTACTACACTGGCGTGGAGTACACACCCACAGAAGTTGTTAAGCCTACGTTCGCACACCCACAGAAGTTCTTAAGCCTTGTTAACCCACAGAAGTTGTTAAGCCTTCCACAGAACATCTGTTGCATATGATGCATATGGTACATGATACACATGATACACATGATACGTACTCACAAGATAGTTGATCACATCTTTAGGGCAAATTCCTGAGGGATGTGGGAATACACAAGAGAGAGAGGATATGGTTGTCCCGATGGTTGTCTCGATGGTTGTCCCGATGGTTGTCCTGATGGTTGTGGTTGTCCCGATCGTTGTCCCGATGATTGTCCCGATGGTTGTCCTGATGGTTGTGCTTGTCCCGATCGTTGTCCCGATGACTGTCCCGATGATTGTCCCGATGGTTGTCCCGATGGTTGTTCCGATGGTTGTCCCGATGGTTGTCCCGATGGTTGTGAGCGATGCCGGATCCTCACGCCCCCCGCCGGAGGAGGAGGAGGAGGAGGAGCAGGACAAGGAGGAAAGGAGAGAAGAGAAATTCGGACAGCGCGCGCGGGTAGAAATTTTGAAAAGTCGTGCAGGTGTTTTTCGAGGACCTACGGTGCGATTCGTGTGATTTTATGATGCGCGGTGCTAAAATTCTTAAGAAGCCCAATGGTTTTTGGAGATTTCGGCGTGCGCGCGCGAAGAAAAAACGAATGTGTCCCGCATGGTATTATTTGACAGGGATGATGGCCCTGGCAGGTGCGCAACCGTTGTCGCAGAAGTTCGAAAAAGTTGCTCGCAAAAGCCCGTTTGACAGAAATGTTTAAAAAGTGTTGGGTTTCCTACGAATCCGCAAGAGCGCGCGGGATGAGATTTTGACATTTTTTTGTTGAAAAACCATTGGTTTTTTGATGTTTTTATGTTAAAATCGCTGCGAACACTAAGGTTTTGGAAGGATTTCGTCTTGCGCGCGCGAATGTCCACTTTACCTTATTTTTTGCAAGGGATTCTTGAAATTTGATTATATTAGAACAAGAAATGTCATTTTCTATTGTTTTTTGCAAGGGAAAGCGGATTACAACAAAACAACCGGATCCTGTACACACCCTCTTTTCTGAGGCTTCCTCACGAAAATGATGAAAATGTAGCTGCGGCCTAGGCGGCGCAGGGGGGGCGCGCACCAGGGGGCCCAACAATAATTATTCTTTAGAATAAATAATGTTCAACAACAACAACAACAACCACCACCACCACCACCACCACAACAACAACAACAACAATAACAACGACAACGACAACGACAACGATAACAATAAATCATACAAAGGTATGTGGTTGGTTTTGACCTCCAGGGGTCCTCACGTCAAAACGCGACTCGGGATGAGGAACAAAAAACCCGACCTCGGATGTCTGGTTGGGTCGAGGTTCGAAATCGTGGAAGATCCAGGTCTATGGACATTTGGGCATCTTCGGAGGCGCCTTTGTTCGGCCTCCGAGGGCTTCCCTCGTCGCCAAGGCCGGATCCGCCTCCAAATTCTGGTCAGAGCGCGCCCCAGGGCAAAACGTGGGAGGCATTGTCCTAGGGGAGAGTCGGATGACAAGGAGGAGGAGTTTGCGGCGAAATTCGAACCCTACCCGCGCCGATCAACGATACAGGCAAGTCGATGGGCAGCGGCGGTGGGGCTTGAAATTCGTCGAATACGTGGCGGAATCAGAACCCTCCCCCGCCTCCCATCGATTATGAAATTGACGGTTGGTGGGGGTAGGGTCCGGATGTCCCCACCGAAGGAGGAGGTGAAGGAGGCGTAGTTTTGTCAAGATTCTGTTGCCCCCAGGAGGCTTGCGGGAACCCTGGGGGAAGCCTCCAGGCTCCAGGCTCCAGGAACGAGATCTTCGGAGAGGAGATGAGGAGAACCAGGAGCATGAAAAGGCTGAGGATCTTGGCGTGCTTGGGCATTCCTTGGGAGGCCTCCCGCGATGGTGGGGAGGTGCCTCGCCGCCACGGCTGCGTACGCCTCGAGGCTCCACTCGGTCAGGGCGCGCTTGCGGGCGGCATCCCGGGGGGGGGGCCAGCCCCGAGATCGCGCACCCCCTCTCAGAAGGGACGGGCTCCCGTCCGCTGCGCCCTTCGGGCTGCTTGCGGCCACGCGGCTTCGGTCGATTTCTGTTTTGCTGTCGACGAATCGGTTGCTTTTCGGCTGCGCTGTCGCCTCGCCGTGGACGGCGGTGTGGAGAGGGGGCGAGCACACGAGCAGGAGTCATGCTACGCGTTTCCCTCGCATCCCTCGCATCCCAGGCCTCCTCGCAACGTTGGGATATCACGAGCACGGCGTGACATAAACATTCAACTTCCAGACCCGCGAGGAGCTCTTGGGTCGGCTCTGCTCTCTCCTGTCGGCGCCGCCGGCGCGGCCCCGGGCGCTCTCCGCGCGCCAGGGCAGGGGGCTCGAGCGCCGACCCGAGAGATCCGCCCAGAATTCCAACAAACAAGTGTATGATCATGCGAAATTCATTTGTCTTCCCAGACGTTGGAAGATCTCGACGGCAGATGTTTGTTCAATCCGCCCAGAATTCACAACAAGTGTATGATCATGCAATTCATCTGTCTTCCCAGACGTTAATGAGACGGTCTCGACGGCAGATGTGTGTTGATTTTCCAGCCTCTGGGAGCCCTTGCTGGGCACAGGGACCATCAGAAAACGGCTTGAGACGAAAAGCCAGGATCTTAGGGAAGGGGTTCGGTCGGCCCGATCCGATTCGATTCCGATGTTCCGACGATGCGTTGCGGCCTGGTGCTCGTATGGCACAACCGAGTCGATTCGATTCCGATTATATGTTGATGTGGGCCGACTCTATGCACAGTCTGATCCGATCTGATATCCCGATTCGATGCCGATTGACCTGGTGTTATGACAAAGGCACGGCGTCGGGGGCACGGACTTTTCCCTCAAAGCCCGTCCCTTCCTTGGACTCCTCGGGCACCCTCTAACAACGAAACATTGGATACCGCCGAAAATCTGTGAGTACCCTCTCCCTCCCTCTGCTCCCTCCTTCTCCTACTCCCCCCATTTGCAAGAAGAGCAGCAGGAGGAGGCGAGAAAGACTGAAATGCAGATGGAGGAGGGGGTATCCCATCCTCCCGATCCCCCTCGAAAACTTCCTTAGGCACTTCTCACCCACCTCACTCGACACCCTCATCCGAACGGAGATCCGAAAGTGTGTGTTTACGCAGTTTGTTCTTCGATTCACCGGGTTCTCACCATGCAGCATGATCCGTAGGACCCTGGCCCGCCCGGTTTCTCCTGCGATCCGACGTCGCGGAAAAAATTAACGTTCTGGAAAGTCACAGAATTCATATTGTGTGTATCAACGACTTTGCTGGACAGCTCGATACTCGATTTCCCCCCCCCCCCGACGCCGCGAGGGGGTCGTGGAGACAGGCGAAGGCCTCGACTTCATCTTTCAGCGGCACTCCTCGAGCCAGATCTACCTGCGACGGTTTTACGAGTCTTCGGGCCCGAAACATCGCGATCAAATGGGCCGAACACATACCGACCTCTGGATTTCAGAATCTGACCCTGCAGATCCATGGGGCGCCCCCCACGCCCTGGAGCGCCCGCGAGGAGTGCGACCCGCCGCACCCCCTCTGCAGGTCGGAGTGCGACGTGCACTGCGATTCCCGGTGCGCGGCGCCGGTGTGCCGGTTCTCGCGCGGCGCCCAGTCCGGCCTTGCACAGCAACCGCTGAAGACGACGACGACGACGATATTGATTTCGATGACGACGACGACGACGATTTCGACGACGACGACAACGACGACGATTGCGACGATTTTGATCCCGATGACGACGACGTCGACGACGTCGATCTCGATGACGACGACGATGCTGATGTCGGTGACAACAACGACGACGACGTCGACGACGTCGATTTCGATGACAACGACGACGACGACGACGTCGACGACGTCCATTTCGATGACGACGACACCGACGATTTTGATCCCGATGACGACGACGAGGTCGACGTCGATTTCGACGACGATGACGACGACAATTTGGATCTCGATGACGACGACGACGACGGCGGCGACGACGGCGACGACGAGGCAAGACGACGACGACGAGGACGACTTCGACTTCGACTTCTTCGACGACGACGACGAGGGCGACGACGACGACGGGCGCGATGACCCACGGACGGGCCGAGGTGCCACGAGCCGAAGGACTGCCCGAAGCCCGAGTGCAGGCTGAAGTGCGAGAAGTCGTCGGCCCTCCGCCTCCGACCCCTCCTGCGCTGCGGAGCGAGGGTCAAAGTTTCGAGGATCGAGGATCGAGGGTTGGGAGCACAGAGGATGTCGGGCGTTGTTCGTCCTTTTCGCAGTTGGGTGCGGCAGTTCGGCCAACCCCTACTGAGTCCTTCCTGAGGGAGGTTTTGGGAAGGCTTTTAGGAGGAACCCTCCAAAAACCTTCCACAACCCTCCCTGAGGATGGGTTTAGGAAGGTTTTGTTCTGAGGAATCTTCAAACCATCTTCCAAAAGCCTTCCTGAGGAAGGTTCCAGGAAAGATTTTAGGAAGAATCCTCCAAATATTGTCGGGGAACCTTCCTGAGGAAGGCTTTAGGAAGGTTTTCAAGAGGAATCTTCCAAACACAAATCCAAACACCTTCCTGAGGCAGGTTGTTGGAAGGGTTTTGGAAGGCTTTTGGAAGGTTGTTGCAAGGTTTTTGAAAGGTGTTCGGAATGAAGGTTTGTAGAAGGTGCTTGGGAGGTGTTTGGTAGGTTGTTGGAAGGTTTTTAAGAAGGTGTTCGGAAAGTGTCTGGCTGAATTTTGGAAGGTTTTCGGATGGTTTCTGGAAGGTGCTCGGAAACATCCTGTCTCGCCCTCCCCCCTGCAGCCTGGGAGAAACCTTCCAAAAATCATCAAAACAATTGTCCTCCAAAACCTTCCCAAATACCCGTGGAGTTGTTCTCCTAAGCATTGACGGGAATATCCGTGGAGTCACTTGGACGAGGATGCACTTGTACACAGTTTTCTTCCTCACCGTTTTCTCTTAAGCAGTGGCAGAAAAGTCACCCGGACGAGGATGCACTTGAACCCCGTTTTCTCCCTCACCTTGTTCTCCTAAGCAGTGGCGTCGCCCGGACGAGGATGCACTTGTACCCCGTTTTCTTCCTCACCTTCCTTTCCTAAGCAGTGGCAAACAAGTCACCCGGACGAGGGTGCACTTGAACCCCGTTTTCTCCCTCACCTTGTCCTCCTAAGCAGTGGCGGAAGGCATTGGTGCATTACGTCCAGGTGTACCGGCCTGTGGTGTCTGCATCCGCATGCCCAGGCAATAGTTGTCGCAGGTGACCCCCCTGAGGTTGCTATAAATCTTCGGCGCTCCCCGGGGGCAGGTAGGGCCTTCCCTGGGGGGACTTTTTACGGGATTTCGTGCCCCCAGGAATGGACGGGAGGGAGGGAATCGAGACCGATCGTTTGAAAATCCCTACCACCTCTGGCGTAGCTCGTGTGACGCCAGGGGGGGCGGCCCGTCCACCCACCTCCCCACCACAGGGGGGGGTGCGAAGTCCCTGTGGACGGGACGGGGTGGGCACTGAAGGGCACCAAAGGCCCTTCAAAACCCAAAGGTGGGCACCATAAGCCTACCGCCGGGTCTCTGGGAGGCTTCCCGTCGCCACGGCTAGATCCGCCTCGAAATTCAATTCAAAACGCAGTCCTTGACAGGTCAAGGGATCGAGGATCGCTCCCGCGTGCAGGAGAAGTCGGTCGCGCAGAGTTGCCCAGTGTAAGGTGCGGTGATGCGTGTCAGTGACTGCGCGGGCACTAATCGATTCGACTGCGCACCCCCACGGGCTCCGCAGATGGAAACTCGATCACATCGGTTCAATTGTGCAGGCGATCCGATCGATCGTTCGATCGATCTGCGATCAGGATCGGCCCTTGGAGGCCGCCGGCAGCATCCGCAAGTCCCATCAGCTTCACCGTCCCTTTCCTCCATTCTCTGCCGCTCCTCCCCATCCTCTTCCCCATCCTCCTCGTCCTCCTCCTCCTCCTCCTCCTCCTCCTCCTCCTCCTCAGTTTGACGCTGCGCGGACTATGATGCTCCTCCTCCTCCTCCTCCTCCCCCACCTCCTCGTCCTCCTCCGATCGACGCTCTCGGTCGCCGCGCGCATGGGCGCCTGCACGTGCCCCGTCCGGGAGTGTCGGAGGGCCTCGGGTAGCCTGGTCCTTTTCGGGAGCAGAGCGCGCCCGCCCAGCCCCGAGTTGTCGGTGCAGTCTGGGCATCCGCCAGAGCGGGGCGACAGCGCCACAGCCAAGGTGGCGTCGTTGCTTCCTGGGCCGGCGCTGCGCGTGTGGCGAGGTGCGTTGAACTCGGGCCTTGCTTGTCCCTCGTGGTCGCACGGGGGGCCCCGTTATCAAAAACGCCGAATGTCAGCTTGTGATTAACAAAAGGCCAACCCCCCCCGGGGCTGATGAATAGACCCCGCGGGGCGCGATATATTTTTTTCAAACACGCGCGCTAGGGGGCAGGAGGAGAAAGGAGGGGGAGGGGAGAGAAGGAGGAGAAGGAGGAGGACGAGGAAGTGGAGGAGGAGAAGGAGGAGGATGAGCAGGAGGAGGAGGAGGAAGAGGAGCTGGTTTCGGTCACCCCGGCGAAGGGCCAGTCCTCGACGCATGGCCGCTTTCGGCGCCAGGAGGCGCTTGGAAAATCGGCGACGTGAGCTGCTTGGCAAATCCCCCATTTGCTGCGCCCCACTTTCGTCCAGCCCGCTTTGCCCGCAGGCCCGCATCGGTTCGACAGAACGAGGGGCGCCCTGCCCCTCGTTGGCGGCCAAGCGTCGGCGCTAATCACCGGCGCCGCCCCGTTGATTTTCAATATGTCGGGCTCCACCCCGCGACGCGCCCTCCACGGATTTGTTAATCACAGGCTGGCATCATGGCGAATCACCGCCGCCCCCTGCCATCTGGGATCGCCTATGTGGTCGAACGCTGTGGCAAGAGCTCTGCCAAGCTATCCAACCATGTGTTTCCCCAGCCGCTGTGAAACCCTTCAGGGAACACGAAGGAGAGAAAGAAGAAGTGGAGGAGAGGGAGGACAAATAAAGAGGGGTAGGAGGAGAAGGAGGAGGAGGTGGAGGAGGAGGAGGAGGAGGAGGACTCTTGGGGTCTTCTGCGAGCCTCTTGCGGGCCTCTCGCAGGCCTCTTGTAAGCCTCCTTGGGCCTCTTGGGGGCTTGCTGGGGCTTCTTAGGGGCCTCGTTGGCCATCTTAGGGCGTTCCTGGCGCCGTCGGAAGCCGTCTTGGGGGCATCTCTGGACCGACTTGGGGCCGTCTTGGGGCGTTTCAGGGCCGTCTTGGAGGCCACCATGGAAGTCTAGGAGGCCTCTTGGGCCGTCTTGAGGCCTTATTGGGGCCACTTGGAAGCTGTTTGGGCCGTCATGGGGTCATCTTGAAGGCCTTTGGGGTTATCTTGGGGCGATCTGGGGCCCTCTTGGGCCCCCTTAGGCCATCGGAAGGCCGAAAAGAGGTAAATGCCAAAATCCTTGAAAAACATTTGGACAGTGAATGATGTTGGCCTTTTCGGGCCCTCCTGGAGGACCTCTTGGAGGCCTCTTGGGATGTCTTAGAGGCTTCTTGGAGGCCTCTTAGGCCGTCTTGGCCCGTCTTTGACGTATTTTGGACCCTCTTGGGCCGTTTTGCAGGCCATTTGGGACATTCTTGGGCGAATTTGGAGGCCATCTTGCCCTCTTGGAGGCCAGCTTGAGCCGTCTTGGGTGATTGTTTTCCGACGTTGAAGTTGTGTACGGTCTTTTCCTAGTGGCCGGCGCTCTGGGCCGAAGCCCCAGGGAGAGTGTTTTTTGGAAAAGAACCAAAACCAAGCAGTATAGGGTCTAGCACGCCAGACACCCCTGTGGCAAGCCAACAGGGGGCGGCGGATCGAAGACGCCTACGGCGAATCACCGCCGCCCCCTGCCTTTGTGGAAGCGCCTATGTGGCCGAACGTTGAGGCCAGACCTGCCAAGCTATCGGACCATGTGTTCCCCGAATCGGTTTGGAAAGCCTTCGGGGAACACGTGGGCATCTTGAAGGTCATCTTGGCCGCCTGGAGGCCATTTTGACGTTTTCGGGCCTTCTTGGAGGACGTCTTGGAGGGCCCGTGGGCCGTCTTGGAGGCCATCTTGAGCGTCTTGGAGGCCTCTTGGGCCGTCTTGGGGGCCTCTTAGGGCCGTCTTGGGCGCCTCTTGGGCCGTTCTGGGGCCATCTTGGAGGCCTCTTGGGCGATCCTTGGGCGATCTTTGGGAGCTCTTGGGCCGTACCGGGCCGTCGGAAGGCCGAAACGAAGCAAATGTCAAAATCCTTCAAAAACCTTAGGACAATCAATATGTTTGGCCTTTTTTCTGGCCTTCCTGGAGGCCCTCTTGGAGGCCTCTTCGGCCGTCTTGGGCCAGCTGCGAGCCACCTTCGGCCATCTTGGTGGGCTCCTGGCCCGCCTGGCGCCGTCGGAAGCCGTTTCGGGAGCCGTTCTGGGCCGACTTGGGGCCCTCTTGGGGTGCTCCAGGGCCGTCTTAGAGGCCATCTTGGGCGTCTTCTGGGCCTCTTGGGCCGTCTTGGCGCCCTCTTGGGGCCGTCTTGGGGGCCTCTTGGGCCGTCATGGGGCCATCTTGGAGGCCTCTTGGGCGATCTTGGGGCGACCTTGGGGGCCTCTGGGGCCGTCACGTGCCGTCGGAAACCCGAAAAGGCGCAAATGCCAAAATCCTTCAAAAACTCATGGAAAATCAAAGATTCTGGCCTCGTCGGGCCTTCTGGAGGACCTCTTGGAGGCCTCTTGGGCCGTCTTGGAGGCCTCTTGCGGGCCTTTGGGCAGTCTTAGACCATATTGAGGCCATCTTGGGCCGTCTTGGATGCATCTTGGGGCCATCTTAGCCGTCTTGGAGGCCATCTTGGCTGTCTTGGAGGCATCTTGCAGGCCATCTCGGGCCATCTTCGCGATTTGTTGAGGATGTCCCGAGCGAAACAGCCGTTTGGGGTATTGACAGATGGGTTTTCCGGATGACCGGCGGGACGGGCCGAAGCCCCAGAGGGGGTTCTTGTGGAAAAAGAACCAAAATCAAAACCCATATAGTTTGGCACGCCAGGCACCCCTGCGATGAATCGACGGGGCGGCGGATCTCATGGCTTGCGGTCCATCCCGCCACCGTGCCTGGGTTGTGGGTCCGAGTTCTCAGGGATGCTCATTGGGGTCTCTTCCAAGCGCTCTCGGGAGCCTCTTGG